GTAAAAACTTCTGTGGGTAAAAGCTTTGTGTGTAAAAGCGTCTGTGTAAAAGCTTCTGTGTGTAAAAGCTTCTGTGTGTAAAAGCTTTTGTGTGTAAAAGCGTCTGTGTGTAAAAGTGTTTGCGATGCAAACTATTGTCTTGCACTTCTCACTATTTTGTCTTGATACTCCTCTTCTCGACTGCCTATAACACATCTTTCATATATCGTTTCTAAAATTGCGTCTCCATACTAACAAGAGGAGACCCTGCTCCTCTACGCTCTCGGGCCATCCGTCGTCTAGTTTCACCTTGATGGTGAGCTCCACCGTGATGGTTGACATCGTCTTTGCATGTTGCTCCAAGAGTAAGCTACTATAGACGGTTGCTCGCGGGCTTACTCCGTTCCTCTTTGTGCTCCATGGCACTAAAGGTCTTGTGCCCTGCGTGGGGTTCTGCCCTCTCCACCATGGTGTGCTTGTTGTTTTGGTGTGTCGCCACCCCGCTGAGTGGCCTTTCTTCTGCCCCTTCCCCTCCCACTCTCTTCCTGTCTGTCTCTTGTTGGCTTCACAGGTTGTTGTTTGAACTTCATTTAGCCACCTTAGTGTGAATTAACGATGCCTCGGTGAGAGCAGAATCGCTGACCTTGTTTGCCTTGCCTGTCAGTCACCAAGAGCCAAACTTCAAGGGGTGGAGACGGTCAATGGCAAAATGAAGCTAAAGAGGAAGTGCCGACCCATCCAATCCACTGTGAAAGTAACATATGGGGCCCATTACCCTTCACACGAAGGGGCTTGAAGGAGGGGCTTAAGGGGGGGCTGAAGGCGGGTCTTCAAGGGGGGGCTTCAAGGGAGGGCTTCAAGAGGGGGCTTAAGGGGAAGCTTAACGGGGGGCTTAAGGGGGGGCTTAAAGGGGGCTTCAAGGGAGGCTTCAAGGGGGAGGGGGCTTCAAGGGAGCTTCAAGGGGCTTCAAGGGGGGCTTCAAGGGGGGCTTCAAGAGGGGGGCTGAAGGGGTAGTAGTAGTAGTAGTAGTAGTAGTAGTAGTAGTAGTAGTAAAAGTAGTAGTAGTAGTAGTAGTAGTAGTAGTGGTAGTAGTAGTAGTAGTAGCAGTAGTCGTAGTAGTCGTAGTAGTCGTAGTAGTCGTAGTAGTCGTAGTAGTCGTAGTAGTCGTAGTAGTCGTAGTAGTCGTAGTCGTGGTCGTGGTCGTGGTAGTGGTAGTGGTAGTGGTAGTGGTGGTAGTGGTAGTGGTGATGGTGGTGTAGTAGTAGTAGTAGTAGTAGTTAGTAGTAGTAGTAGTGTGTAGTAGTAGTAGTAGTAGTAGTAGTAGTACCCTTCCTTGAAGCCCCTTGAAGCCCCCCTTGAAGCCCCCCCTTAAGCCCCCCCTTGAAGCCCCATTGGAAGCCCCCCCTTAAGCCCCCTTTGAAGCCCCCCTTGAAGTCCCCCCTTAAGCCCCCTCTTAAGCCCCCCGTTAAGCCCCCCCTTGAAGCCCCTCTTGAAGCCCCACCTTAAGCCTTCCTTAAGCCCCCCCTTAAGCCCGAGTTCTATGTGCAAGGAGCTTTGCAGTCCAAGCAGATAGCTTTGGGCAAAGTCAAGGGCACGTGAAAATTTGACATCTGTGGTGAGATGAATCCATTGGATCTTTTCTGCATTGGAGGAAGTGAATTTGTTTTTCACCTTGATGGTGAGCTCAACCGTGATGGTTGACATCGTCTTTGCATGTTGCTCCTTAAGTAAGCTACTGTAGACGGTTGCCCGCGTGTCAGGAGTGTTGTTGCGGCTTACTTCGTTCCTCTTTGTGCTCCATGGCACTAAAGGCCTTGTGCCCTGCGTGGGGTTCTGCCCTCTCCACCATGGTGTGCTTGTTGTTTTGGTGTCTGTCGCCACCCCGCTGAGTCGGCCTTTCTTCTATGACGGGTCCCACTCCACCACCTCGTTTCCGCTTGAGCGGCTTGTGGATGCCTCTTCTGCCACTTGCTGCTTCTCTCCTCTGTCCTCTCTTCCTCTCTGTCTCCCCTTTTGGTGTCTTGTTGGCTTCAAGTGTTGTTGTTTGAACTGGTACCCTACTCAGGTTTTGTACTGAGGAACACAGATGCACCTTGTCTGCCTGAGCCTTAGGACAGCGACAAGAGTTTACCTTCACATCCGTGGACTGGATGGGTCGGCACTCCCTCTTTAGCTTCATTTAGCCATTGACCGTCTCCCCCCTTGAAGTTTGGCTCTTGGTCACTTATGACAGGCAAGGCAAATAAGGTCAGCGATCCTGCTCTTACCGAGGCATCGTTAATTCACACTAAGGTACACCCGTGTCGTCATCCTCCCCTTTTGATGACTTGAATTCGTTTCGTTTCTACCCCTTTTAGTTGGGTGTCTCTGGGGTAAGTCGGTTGTCGTCGGGATGTAGATAGGTGGGGAGGGTGTAGCCGGCCGTCGCCATGGACTGTGCTGTGCTGCAGCGAGTAGCACTGGCGCGCCCAGGACTGCTCCCTGCGCAGCAAAGTCTGCTCCAATGGCTCGTCCCTGCAGTAATACAAATCAGCTGAAGCAGTAAGAAAGGGTGTGATTACTGAAACGCTGAGAAATGCTGCAGAAACAGGCGGATACCCTCCTACATGGCGTCGTGTTGCACGCATCGATCAGAGACGACACTCTGCAGGTGCCTGAACAACATGCTGCCGCACACCCCGACCTGGTTTTACTACCTCCAGAACACCTCTGCATTATGCGGCTTACCAATCTTTGCATTTAGATGTTGTGACTGGAGACCGCTTTTCACTCTGCTGCATCGGAGAGACTGTGACATTGGCATTATTTGCTAATGGTTTCCCCCTCTGAGACTTTCTCATTTTCTCCTGCGGATTTTGGACTGCGTTGTTCTGGATCCTCTGGCTGCTTTGGCCTATAGCCTAGGGATGTGGATTGAATGATGGCCCATTACTCTCGCCGTTGCTCTTCTTTTTCAGAATGAAAATGACATTGCCACAGCTGCAACCCAACTGGCAGCGCCAATCGACCCTTTGGCAGATTTTCACTCCGATTGACACTTACTATTGTTCACTCGGCTTTGCAATCATGCTGATTTGAGGCAATTTGTGTCTTGCAGCAATCATGCGCTGCTCGCCACACAATTGGAATTACCGACTAGGGCCTATCCCTTAGCCTCGTGATTGCGGGCGCATCGTCCGATCACTCTTTGGTCAGGTCAGACAACTTGTGAGACCAACCCCAATGCGAGAAAAGAGCAGGTGCTGTCCGGTAATTCAGTGAAGATGTTTCGGATTTTTTCATGTCGGCATGTGCACTGGGTGGTTTTGATGATGCGTTGTTTTTAGGGTTTATTTGATCAAGATGTTTCATGTCGGCATGTGCACTAGGTGTTTTTGACGCCGCGTTGTTTTTTTTAAAGGTTTATTTGATTGATGAGTCTACCGTGAAGCGGTCTCGAAGTTTCCTGCCAATGGTGCTTTGTGAGAAATTTTATGTTTTTTTTTTGCCGGTTGTTTTGTTTTTCACCCAATCCGGTGAACGACGGAAGTCCGAATATATGTCAGTTGTGGCGTTGTGCTAGTGTCAGAATATGTATCAGGACTTTGCAAAGGAGTCAGAATATATGTCAGAACTTTGCAAAGCTTCTTCTACTCAATAGAACGGTTGTTGTGGTTGCGGATGCTGGCTTGGCTTAAGGAATAATCATATTGATTCCATGCGCTGCCATCATAGACAATGGCGAAATGGCAAATCATCATCATAGCCCTGGCTTGTCTTTGGGCTCTAAAAATCTCCGCTACCACTTTAAGAGGGGCAATAGCGTCTTTCAAGTAAAGGATCGGCTAGAGCCTCTTCCCAGGCTGCAAGTATTGTTTTTTTCTATCGGCCAATGAACCTGTCTGTGATGCGCCTAGTCTACAAAACTATACCGCTATATCTCTCTTGAGCCTTGAGCAGGCTTCAGATTGTGTTCAGTACTCATGCATATGACCTGGTAGGGTTCAGTACAAAACATCAACAGGGGGTTGGTGTTTGGTGGTTTGGTGGTTTGGTGGGTTGGTGGTTTGGTGGGTTGGTTGGTTGGTGGGTGGGTGGGTGGGTGGTGGTGGTGGTGGTGTGGGTGTGGCAATTGTCATGCGTTGTATGTGAATAACATTTTTTTCCGTTGGCTGGGGCCGGCGGATATTTGGAAGACGTGAAAACGTCGATGGCTTAAAATGTGAAATTTGGCACTTGCACTGACATAGGCATTTTTGGGAGGAAACATGCAACATGCCGTTGGATGATGATGCTGCGTTGTTCATATGTGAATATTTTGTTGGCGTCAAAATAAAATTGTGTGATCGCAATTGTTGCCAGAATCATGTGGGTTTGTAATCATATGTTTCGATCTTGATCTTGATCCATGTTTGGTTGGGGCAGAGTGAAGGTGTTTTGGTTGTTGTTCTTGTTGTTGTTGTTGTCAAAACCACTGTTGCATTGGATTTGCCGAACTATTGAAACGGATTTTCAACACGTTTCTTTCGGGATTTCATGCTACAACGAAGACAAATACCTTTTAAACCGTGACCGTCGTTTGTTGCTTTTTGGTTCCCATTGCTCCAGATTGAAAACGTTGAACAAATTTATCAAAACAAAACGGACGATTTGCCATCGGCTATTGGCAACACGTTGGCAACACTTGGAATATTCCGTTCAATGCTGTTTCTACAATTGTTTGCCGTTTTATGTTCTGTAATTTTGATGATTTGTTGGCCGGGATGTTTTGCATCAAATGACCAAACAACGTGTGGATGAAATAGGATCAAATCTGTGCAAAACCTTGGTTTGGTCTTGCACAATTTGCGTTTGTGATTTTTGGAGCATGGTTTGTGTATGTTTGTTGGTCACCCATTTTGTATCTGCCATTTGGTTTGGTTCAATTTGCAGGCGGCGACAGTGTGTGTGGACAAGCGGTCAAAATCATAACGATGAGGGCACGGTATCAGCAAACAAAGAATGCCATGCAAATTCAGGGCATATTTGTGCGTTTCGCTCCTTGTTTACTCTGTGCATCGGGGTGGAACGCCAACCATGCCGTCCGACGAGAGCGAAAGCGAACGAGAAGAGAAGGAGGACGGGAACATTGTTGCCGGCGGATTCCCCACAGCAACGGTGACTATTGATCTAGTAAACTACCCAATAACAAAACCCAATCTTCCGGTATAAATTGGAGGTTTATTGTTGGATTTTCGTGGTTCATATGGTATTTGCAAGAAACCAACACGGTGGGTATGGGGTTATCAGTGGATTACTGTGGAGGTATTGCCGATGAGCTGCAGACTCTTCAATGAACCAAACTAAAAAAACATCAAATGATGGGGTTGAGGAATCGTTTTACTCTTTGAGATGGCTCAATCCGTGGTGATGACTTGGGTTGTGGTTTCAAAATGTTGAAACAACGCTTCAACCGGCATGTTTTTCAAAACCAAGACGGGCAAATGATATGTACATTGTTACATTTGTATTCTATGATATTATATTATTTACTTATCTACTTATTTGCAGTATTTGCATATTTGCATATTTGCATATTTATTTGTTTATTTAATGCCAACACCGGATTAATACCCCCCCCCAGAAGGTAGGGGGGGTACCTTCTGACTGGTTTTCTTGACCACACCTTAATAACAAGCAACTCTGAACCATAAAACTTTGGATATGGCTTACGTCAATTAGATCTTAATAGAATTCCATTGGATTTGTTAAAATCTCATGGATCAGAAAGGTGGTTGATTAATCAGGGGCAAACCGTGGTTATTATTAATGGGGGACATGGGCTCATGGGGGGTACCCTTTGGGGGCTATCCAAACTGATGATTTTTATAAAGATTTTAATTAGAAATCGATCATTTGGGGAATAGTTGTTTTTTGAAATTTTCAATGATCAACTCAAACCTTACGTATAACAATGATGATAAAAAAAAGGTAAAAAACAATTGGAAATAAATAAGTTTGGAAATAAAAATTGTTGGATAAAAAAATGGATTTCAGCACTGGTGGTTGATTAATCGGGGGTAGGCCAAACGGTTTTTTAATCAGCGGGGACCACCTGTTTTTAAATTACATTTTTTTTTTTGGGCAGTGGTGGTTGATTAATCTGGGGGGGTTTATTAATCCTCACTTGACATTATTTATTTATTTATTTATCTATCTATCTATCTATCTACTTACTTACTTATTTCTTATTGTATTTACTTATTGATATATTTACTTATTTACTTATTCACCTATTTACTGATTTTTTTAAAGTTCATTTCTTTACTTGTTTACTTAAATTTACTTATTTACATGTTCGCTTATTTACTTATTTACTTAGTTACTGATTTACTTATTTATTGTTTATTTACTCATTTACTTATTTATTTATTTATTTACTTATTTACTTATTTATTTATTTATTTATTTACTTCTTTACTTATTTACTTATTTACTTTTGTACTTATTTACTACGTATTTATTTATTTTTTAAATTTATTTACTTATTTATTTATGCATTTATTTTCTTATTTACTTATGCACTATGTATATGTACATGCAACATGTATATATATATATATACATACTATATAACATACATTCATAATCATATATATATATATATATATACATACCGTTGCACACCATATGCCTCCAATTTCCATCGCAGGATCGACGAGATCGCCGGGAAAAACGGGAAGAGAAAAGACGTGACAAGGAGACGAAACACGGGTCACGTCATTGGAGAAAAACCCTGGTAGCTTCTCCTATTGTCCACTAAAATGATGGCGTAGATAATATATACCTCTATTTATACATATATATATATAATGATATATATATATATTATGATATATGTATATATATATATACATTCTAGATATGTACATGTTCCAGAATCCCGGGATCCAATCATCTACAGTAGTTCGCTAAGATTATTTTAGCGCGCCAGGATGACGACCGCGAGCGCGGAGGTCGGGTTGTTCCACCATGAACTCTGGGTGTTTTCTGCAAAGCAAAATGGGGAATTTTTCGGAAGTTCACCATCAAGGGAATGATGGTTTCAAATTCAGACATTGACATTTACCAAACTTATCAAACTTACCAAACTTACCAAACTTGGACTTTTCTGCCAAGCGTTCTTCAGGGGTTTATTCATCCAGGAATGATTCATGGGAATGTGATTTCACCCGTGGTCGGGGGTTTGGAGGATTTATCACCAGAAGTTGAAGTCCTAGGAATCCAGGAAATACCTGGAGATGCAGTACCCCGGGTCCAAACCATCTCACAGTATATAGACCATTTTAATATTGAAACTCATGGTCTTGGGGTTCCCCATTTAAAGGAACCCACCATTTTTACATGTACTTTGCACTTTTTGGGCGCAGCCCATTTTTTGCAACCCCCCCACTGAACAGAACCATTGAAGATCTATTTTTTAGGCTGTCTTGCAATCATCCTTTGGTATGTTGGGTAATCTATTGAGGCAATGCAAAATGCTGATGATCTACGGCTGGGATCCCCCGAGGATATGTCGATGCCATCCCCCAATCGCAACCCTGCTCCGCTGCTTCGCCTGCTAGTCACCCCAGCCATGAGTGCTGAAGGAGGTACACTAGGCCAACCCCATGCCATGGAAACCTTTATGGTAATGTGGTAAACCCGATACATCTGGGGATAGAACTGGATAATAAAGAAACAAAAGAGATCAAAACAGAAAAGATATATAATGAACAATTATGGAACATATTCTCACCCACAGCATTGAATTATCCGCTGGAACCAATCTTGAATCATCAGGAATCGTGGCAAGAACAAAACCATTCCGGAGTTTCCCTGCTCCTTGAAACTATATAGCGTATGACCCTCCAAGCTAAAAACTATATAGCGTATGACCCCCCAACTTTGCAGTTGACTGGGTCTCTGCACCGTGCAGACAACATATCAAATCTTAGGGATGTTTGTCAAACGTCGGGTCCCCAATTCGCACGAACATTTTTTCCATTTTGTGCTTCAGAATCTCGAAGATTACCCTCTGGTAATTTAACATAGCTATTGAAAATGGCCATAGAAATAGTGGATTTTCCCATTAAACATGGTGATTTTCCATAGTTATGTAACAAATTACCAGAGGGTAAACCTGGGGTCCCCAATTTTCAGGTCCAACTCCCTGTCTTGGCAGGCGCCGCGGCTGGGGCCATGCGCCACTTGACCGGTGCCCTCAGTGCCTCCGTCCGCGACGGGCGCGGCGCGCGCGACGGGCCCTATGACCGGCCGGGCACCAACGGCGCCAACGGTGCGGCGACCGCACGCGGGGCGCCGGAGATGGGAGCAGATGGGAAAGGCCTGGTGGTCGTTGGTGATGTTATGATGGTTGCATGATGGTAAATAGCCCTTGAACATGTAGAATCTAGTGATTGGAAAAAGGTTTCCTAGGGGTCACAAACTGATGGTGAAACTGCCCAAATCCAATATGCCACAGGACAGATCCAGGCTAGGCGAAGCGAGATGGGCAGATAGTAACGTACACTAATCAAGCTGGGGATATTTGACATTTCGGTTCGTCCAAGAATTGTGGTATTTTAAGGGAAAAAGTGGTGATAAACTGTAGGATTCTAGGGTACCAAATTTTGATGAGGATATGACTTTGATCTCCACATTTGATCACCAACCAATCTGGTCAGGAGCTGATGTTGGAGGGGTGGATGTTAGATGTCGGCCTCCTTATCGGGGCCACTTTCAAACCAGCTGCACTTGGAGTGGCATTCCCATTCTAGCCAAGGCACCCTCAGAATCCCCCTTGCTAATTCAGTACTTGCTCCAAAACCAGCCAGATTTTTGTGTGTTTTCCAGCCAGATTTTTTCATGTTAGCTGCCAGGTCGGGGCCGGATGGCCATTCTGCCACCCCCGAAGAAGACCATGGATCGCTCGAGGACTTGTCCCTTCCTGTGGCCAAGCTGCAAGTGACGACATCCTGGAGACCGCCCGAAGTTTCGGTGGGGGGAGATCCCACAGGTTGAAAAGTGTTAGCTTGGAGAAATGATGACAGACTACGAGATTTCTGGGGCAGCTTACTTTCGGATTTCCACCCAGGTCTGGAGATGCATCGTTTTTCACGTTTTTGGACTGGGCCTATAAATTGCACTTCCGAGGCTCCGCATCTTCCGCAAGATCGGCGACTGGGCATGGTTTAAAAAAGTGGGCGAAAACCCCAACATCCAGTGGTTTTGCGATTGAAAATGGTGATTTATAGTGGATTTAGCCATTAAAAATGCTGATTTTTCATAGTTATGTTAGTTTACCAGAGGGTAACCAACCACCCCTGATGGGGTTGCAGGCCAGTGATGACTGGTGAAGCCTCTCTTTCTTCGAAGGGGAGCAGCATCATGGTGAGTCATGGAAACAAAACTGGTACTTGTTCCTAATTCTGAAGTATACCCATGAAGAACAGGCGATGCGGTTTATTCACGTGAGGGATCAGCAGTTTTAGTGGGTTCCCTTGTCCACACATTTCAAATGGGGGTATACGGTATATATACCTCGAGATTTATTTGAACATGGAAACAATGACGATAATCCGCTAGAATTATACCAGAAACTTGGCCTTTTTGTTGCAGAACATGAGATTTTAACAGCTCAAAAGTTAGGGGCGACACAATCTTCCGTGCTCTCAGGTGGACACCATGGGATCGAGGCAGGTTGGGTCCAAAATAACAACATTTTTTCTTCGCGGATTTCATGGTACCCCACATGCATCTTTCTTTGTGGACAGAGGAAAGGATATATGGATGGATTCTGATATCATCCTTCAAAGAAGTTCGAAAAAGAAACAACTTCTCCGTGGTTTTGAAGGCTAATTCTTGACCACCATTTTTGCTTTAAATCTTAATTCTATTGCTGATTCACCTGGGCTCCAGGCTTTTGCTGAGCGTGGGAAGGAGCCTGTGGAGTGCGAACTGCAGGCGCAACGAAGGGAGCCATAGGTGGGTGAAGTCAATAGGTGTACATACATCTACATGATCTACATGATCTACATGTACAGTATATGTGCGCTAAAATAGATTACTGTATTGTTCGAACATTTTTATACTCCAACAATTTAGCAGTTCATCAATAATTGGGGGTTGAAGCTAGCACCAAGTTGTTATTTTTCTGGTAAATGCATGTAAAATCAAGGTCTTTGAGACTCTGAAGACAAGTTCCTCTTCAAGACCCTTGAGGGACCCAACTGTAACTCCCGAAATGTAAGCTAGCTGCAACAGCTTCAATAACAAGATGGTTCAGGCCCATCCAAAACAGATACTACACTAAGCACCGAAAAGGTCTACGCTTGGCCTGACGTGACCCTACGAGAGCATGAGACTCAAGGGACCCGCTGGACGGGTGGCAACACACTGGACAATGGTTATGGTGGTAGAAACAATGGCATGGACACACTTCAATGTTTCACATATATATATATACATACGCTGTATAGATAGATGCATGGATGGATAGATATGCAGATAGATATTATATATATATAGATAGACATAGAGATGGATATGGATGGATATGGCAAAAACGTACATATATACAGTATATATATATACAGTACACACATATATATATATGTATGTATGTATGTATGTAATGTAATGTAATGTAACGTAACGTAACGTAACGTAATGTAATGTAATGTAATGTATGTATGTATATATATATATACATATATATATATTGATACATATATATATATATCTATGTATAATATATGTATATATATATATATGTATCAACATATATATATATGTATCAATAAATAAATATGTATATGTATATGTATATATATATAAACATCACGATATAAAATATATATATATGTTTCTATATATTTATAAACCTGGATAGATATTAGATAGACAGACAGACAGATAGACAGATGGATATGAGATGATTTTTCTGGAAATAGGTTCTGACCCCTGAGCCACTACTCTATTTGGGTGTGGCCAGAATTGCGAGAGTTTATTTGCAACATCAAATACAGAGTGGTCATTGCTAGCTCCACTTTTAGTCCTGGAATCATGAATATGCTGAAATGGGTTCTTCTCGCAGTGGCGGATGGCCGCCGAATGAATTTGTCCAACCAGAACGGAGCAGGTAACTTTGAAGCATGGGATGGAACTTTGTTGGGTAAATTCAGGTGACATTTTTCCATCCCATCCTAGGGCTGGATGGCAAGATGCCCCCACCCAGGGGCCTTGGCCGAGGCTGGCTGACTTGATCAAAGATGTGGCCCCGGAGGCGAGAGATCCGAAAGTTCGCTTGGCCTTCAATCTGATCTACCCAGCAGGGAAGCTCAGGGGTGACCATTGACGGAGTGGGTAAGATTGGGTAAGTGGGTGAGTAGATTATGGTCGTATAGCTATATGTATACGGTATATCATATATATATGTATATGTATAATATATTTATTGGATGTCGGCAGTAACATGAGACATTTGAAGTTTGAGGGCAACTATTGTTTTGTCAAAGAAAGCCAACTTTGGTCGTCATTTCTTGTGGGCTCGCCGGCTTCACGTGTTACCATACATTCCTATGGCAATTGAACACGGCCTCGTAAATGTACACATATGGCAGTGTGTCAAAACCTTGTACCCCTGTAGTTCACATCAAAATAGCTGGGATTTATGGATGTTCATCCCCCTAAAAATGGTATCTATAGGTATTGACCCATACCTATATCTGTCATTTTGAGACAATACTTACGTCTAAGCCGGCGATTTCAGCATGGAAAACACATGCTGTCGATGGAAAAAGGCTAGGCTGTCAGCAAAGGTGAACCATTCCGACGCAATATTTTTTTTCCCAATCATGTGGTCAACATTTTCCCAATTATTGGGAATGAACCATTTTTCCCAACATTTTTCATAAGGTGAACCATTCCAGGCGTTACTTTTTTTGTCAATTCGCCAAGCACCAAGGACAAGAGCGGCAAGAACGTGAGCACCACTTTGGGCACCGTGACCTGCTCCAAGCGCGGCCAGGACGATGACAAGGACAGCCAGCCTGTTTTTGGTTGGTGTTTTCGTGAGAAATTGATGGTGATTTCAAGGAGATTTCACTATCAGAAATGGGAACTTTATGGGAATATCATTGAGATTTCAGCATCAAAACCTGGCATCGAAGCATAGAAAGTGGAGATTTCAGGAGATTTCAACACCACAAAGAAAAAATGAATCGTCAAAACGTGGGGATGACATGAACACATGGGAATCTTGGCGAATACCGAGAGTTGCCATAAGCAGCCGAGGATCCCATCCACTGTAGCCAACTATGGAGACGAAACCGATAAAGATGGGCTTCACCAGCACCCCAACACCTGGATTTAGATGTTTTTTTCATGTTTTTGTCTGCATGAATCACTCTATTTCTCGCGTTGCTGTCCAGTAGTTGAGCTACTGACAGGCTCTGTCGTCTTCGAAATTCCAAACAGGCCATGTGTTCTGTGACGCGCCAACAGTTTCCGGGGAGGATCAGAGAACAGTGGAGTAAGTGGAAGCAAGTGCCACAGTGATTTGCAACCACGTTGTAGACCATCACCGGTCACCTGTTGTTGCCTTGAAGCCTTGAAATTGTTACCCACACCTTGAGGGTTTGCATCCTTTTCTAGCAATCCCTTCGGCAAAAAAAGACCCCGTGACCAGGTGATTTTTTTTGCCAGTGACTCTGACAGCACCACAAATCACCGCTGTTTTTTTTTCCTATGATGCTTTCGTTTTAACATGTTTTAACCCTAGGCATGTGATGATTTTGGTTGATTTTGTGATGATTTTGTGATGATTTTCTCATATTTTCTCCCCGGTGCCGAGATTTTTTGCTGCCCGGAGGTGATTTGTTGGATTTGGCGATCCTCCAATGATCAGGACGCACGGTCATGGCCATGGCCGAAAAGTGACAATGGGGAGTTGACCAACCACAATTTTGGTCCTTTAAGCAACAAAGAATGGTGCTTTTAACCAGCAGAAATGGTGATTTAAACAACAACAATTGAGGTTTAACCATCAAGATGGGGAATGAACCAAGAAATCTCATGGTCATGGTTTATCATATATATACATATATATCATCATTTTCCCCATTTAAACAGTAGGGATGCGATCAGGAGTTTGTTTTGAGGCAGAAACAAACGTTTTGACAGGAGAAAGGTTAGTTTTCCTGGTTGAAACAAATGTTTCGAGACGGCAGAAAAGGTTTGTTTTCCAAGCGGAAACTAATGTTTTGGTGTTGTCCAAGCTTGGGACTGGAAGCAGTGGAAAGAAAAAACACATGTTTTCCTCCAAAAACTAACATTTCCCTTGCGAAAACGTAAGTTTCAGGGCTCGAAACAAACATTTTTGGGAAATGTTAGTTTGAAACTGGAAACTCAAAACAAGCTCCGTCGGAACTAGTTTGAAACGCTCACAAACAAACCTTTTTTCGACTAGTTTGTTTGTTTGTTTTTGCGAAAACGTTTGTTTCAGAAACGCTTGTTTTAGGTACGGAAACAAACTATTCTACAAAACGTTTGTTTTGGGCTGGAATAAACATCTGCCAGACTGCCAAGCTGAAACGTTTGTTTTTCACGGACATGGACAACTTTTGTTTCGAACAAACCTTTTCGTCTGAAAAAACTTACGTTTCGAAACGTTAGTTTGAAAGCAATGAAACTAACCTTTCGGGCTGCCCTTCATCTCGGCCTCGCCATGCCGTGGCAACTGTTTCATGTTCACCATCATTCCTCTCTGTCGGCATCGCCAATGACCTATCGAACTGCCTCGCCATCCACTTCTTCCTTTCTCACGCCTTGTCGATTGTCTCCGATCCGAGAAAATGCCGCGTACATGCCGCTGCCTGCCACGTACCGCCGTCGCCAAACAGAAGGCGCCCGCTGCAGTATTCTAGTTTTTCTCCTGCAGTTGTTCTTGCTCTTCTTCGTTTTCCTTTTCTTCGGCTTCCTTTTCTTCTTCTTCTTCTTCGTCGTCGTCGTCTTCTTCTTCTTCTGCTTCTTCTTCTTCTTTCTTTTTTTTCTTCTTCTTTCTTTTTTTCTTCTTCTGTGTCTTCTTCTTCTTCTTCTTCTACTTCGTCTTCCTGCTGCGACTGCTCTTGCTTTTGCTGCGGCTGCTGCTACTGCTACTGCGGCCCTGCAGCTCCTGCTGCGCCCGCTGCCTGCTGCTGCCGCTGCCACCGCTCCTGGTGCTGCTGCTGCTCCGGGGAGCAAGCGGAAGCTTACAAACTAATTTTCTCCGGCTTGGAAACCTTTGTTTCTCGACCTCGAAACGTTAGTTTTGAAACCTGAGTTTCCCTATGGTTCCGATAACCTCTCCTGTAAACGTTTCTTTTCCCTCCCGGAAACAAACCTTTCCCTAGCCCAGACCTTTGTTTCCGGAGCCAGAAACTAACGTTTCCCCACCCCCCAAAACCTTTGTTTTTCCCCCAGAAACAAACTTTCCCCAGAGTTAGTTTGTTTCCCCCGCCCCCCCTCCAAACCAGCCAAAACCCGGGTTTAGAAACTAACCTTTTCCACTTCAAAACTAACCTTTTGAACTTGAGTTGGAGACATGCTGATTGCGTCCATACTAAACAAAAGAACGCCAGCCTTATGGTAAATCCCATCAGACACCAATGAGTCGGTCGCGAGGAGCTCATTTTGGCTTATGAGCCCGTCATGGTCATGGCGCGGCGAGACGAACGAACTGCGCAGAAATGGGACTCCGAAGGGGCACTGAGTTCAAGCCTGGCGTGGTGTAGTGCAAACGTAGAGAAAAATGATGAAAAATGCCCCTGTTGGTTGATGTTGGTTGATGTTGGTTGATGTATGTTGATGTTATCAGTCACAAAAAATGGAACAAAATAACAACACAACGGCGATTTCAAGCAAGTTCGGGATTTCTTTTTGGGCCAATTTGCACCAGTCCCCATTTCCATTATTGGTATGTTGTACTAAATCTCCCTAGATACCGCTCTGTGTTTCCGCACGTGTTAAATCTGGTTCTAGATAGGGTCACTTAAAAGTGACTGGGTATGGTCGAATACATCGAAATGGACATTTCGCCAGTCGAATGTCCAATAGAAAAAGCTATCTAACCAGGGCACATCGATATCTACACAATTCATCACAACTATACTGATTTAAATGCTCCACATGCACACAAGCACCATTCTCAATCCAAGCATGTGGAGGAAGCACTGGAATCATGCCCAATGATTTTTTGCAGGCTTCCTACCATGACCAAATACCAGAACTAGGGATGAAAGAAGGCCATAGTTATTTGTGTAGATCTGACAGAACTTGAATGGCTAGCTGGTCTGGCTCAGACAGCAACGCTTGACTGTAAGCAGGCATGAAACTTCTGAATCAGTGAGCCACTTTGACATTGTATGAGATTTTTAGTGGACTTGTATTGGTCTGTGCAGTGTACTTTCTGCTTGTTGTGCCTTCGGCGAAGTTTCCACCATCGGCACCCAAGCAATGAAGTGCGGTGGCTGCTTTACATTTTTGTCGCGGCCTTTTTCAGGCGCCCAAAACGGTTGCGATGTGATGCGATGTGCAGCTTCAGTGTTGGTTTCACCGCAGCAGTCAGCAGATAGGCAACGGAACTCGCTTCACATCGGTTTATGATCTTCGTTTTAGTTTGAATTTTGAATGGAACTGGGCTGCAGAATCAACAAAAAAAGACTTTCAAGGAGATCCGAACTGCCATGGTCTTGATGCACATGCGGCTTGTTAAACATTATATAATTAGATCAAAAGGCTAATGGCGCCAGTCTTTGTTTCAAGTAAGGCATGTTATCGGTTATTGATCCAGAATTGGGAGAACAACCGCAAACTTTCATGCCGAACCATGTTTTGCTTAGCTGTTTCGCGACTGTGATTTTTAACCCTTTTTTAAAAAACGGTCCACTGCAAACGGGTTGGCATAAACATTGATTTCTCAACAGGACCTGGAAAATGGGATGGGGCTGGGTGCAACTGGGTTTTTCAGACACTATGTTCAGCCATCCAATTGCTGAGTCACAGATTTAGAACCTGGGCATGGCCTATGGGTCCGAGTTTCCTGGATGGTGTGTCAAAACCCAATAGTAGCCCTTCTGTTCACCTCAAAATAGCTGGGTTAAAATGGATGTTCATCCCATTAAAAATGGTATTTTCATAGGTATTGATCCATACCCATATGGTTTTGATATGATTTTGAGATATGGTTGCGATAGGCGATACGCTTTGAATTTTGGGTTATGACTTTGATATGGTTTTGTTATGACTTGGATATGGTCCGGGTTATGATTCAAGTATGGTTTTGGATGTGAGTTTGATATGGTTTGGGAACGGAGCCGCTTTCTCAGGGTTCCCGATGGGTTGGCTTGGAAAAAGGAAACAGAAACAACCATGGGATAGGCTTTCTCGAGGAATTTAATGGGTCTGATATGATTTTGACATGGTTTTGATTCGCTTTTGATGCGATCTTGAGGCGATTTGGATGTGATTCTGATACGATTTTGATATTGTTTCAAGACATTTTCAAAAAAAAGCAAACAAAGCAACAATTACTTTACTTCGTGTGATCCCCACCATGACATTTATACATGTTCTTACTGGCAAATCTTCTGGCATTCTATCTGACATATCTTCTGACATTCTATTTGGCATTCTATCTAGCATATCTTCTGGCATTCTATCTTCTGGCATTCTATCTGGCAAATCTTCTGGCATTCTATCTGGCATATCTTCTGGCATTCTATCTGACATATCTTCTGGCATTCTATCTGGCATTCTATCTGGCATATCTTCTGGCATATATTCTGACATATCTTCTGGCATTCTATCTGGCATATCTTCTGGCATATGTTCTGGCATATATTCTGACATATCTCTGGCATTCTATCTGGCAAATCTTCTGGCATTCTATCTGGCATATCTTCTGGCATTCTATCTGACATATCTTCTGGCATTCTATCTGGCATATTTTCTGGCATATATTCTGACATATCTTCTGGCATTCTATCTGGCATTCTATCTGGCATATCTTCTGGCATATTATCTGGCATTCTATCTGGCATATCTTCTGGCATATATTCTGACATATCTTCTGGCATTCTATCTTCTGGCATTCTATCTGGCATTCTATCTGGCATTCTATTTGGCATTCTCTCTGGCATATCTTCTGGCATATCTTCTGACATTCTTTCTGACATTCTTTCTAACTTTCTTCTGCAAATTCTTTGTCCCATATCTTCCTACATGAGGTCCGGCAGGGAACACTTGGCATGGATACTCGCGGTTGAGGTCCGGCAGGGAACACTGGGCGTGGATGGTCGCGGTTGAGGTCCGGCAGGGAACACTGGGCGTGGATGGTCGTGGTTGAGGTCCGGCAGGGAACACTGGGCGGGGATGGTCGTGGTTGAGGTCCGGCAGGGAACACTGGGCGTGGATGGCCGTGGTTGAGGTCCGGCAGGGAACACTGGGCGTGGATGGTCGTGGTTGAGGTCCGGCAGGGAACACTGGGCGTGGATGGTCGTGGTTGAGGTCCGGCAGAGAACACTGTGGATCGCGGGTCGCAGTTGAGCAAGGACGACGAGGACGACGAGGAGGACGAGGAGGAGGAGAGGAGGACGAGGCAGGAGGAGGCGGAGGAGGAGGAGGAGAAGGAGGAGGAGGAGGAGAAGGAGGAGGAGGAGGAGGCAACTGACATAAAATCTAACAACCCTCACCTGGCAGGTGGGGAAAAACACAGAAAACACACTTTTGACCCATATCAAAATCATATCAAAATCAAAACTGCAGAGCCAGGCCGCAAACAAATCAGAACAACCAATCATATATGAATCATATCAAAGCATGAATTCAATGAAAGTTACTATTTTGGACACCCTCCATCCTAGAGCCTGCTGATGTCATAACCCTTGCAGGGTCGCGGTGCTCAGGTGAGTTTTCCAGAGCGAACGTACTGGTCAAACAGTACCGCATGCGGGAGTGACGTGTGCATGAAAATTCGATTTAGAGCAATTCGCTGATGGCCGAAGAAGGGAACGATCAGATCTCGGCCTTGAAACATGGGAGCCTATCCCAATGCACCGCATCTTCGAAGAAAAACTGTGTTGTGGTTCCCACGTGGAATTCTTGAGAGTCTGATGAGACTTGGCCCATGCATAGAACCGCATGGAGCATATGGAGCATTTCACTTGTTGAGAGCCTCCAATCGATTCATTCATGCACTCATGTGGTGCTTGAACATTTTGCAAGCCATTTGCTCAAGTCAAACAAACAGAGAAAACACATTGCAGAATCCTTCATGCCTTTTTTCAAGAGGGCGTGGCCACGTGGTCATTTTTGCAGAGCATGAATGACTTGCTTTTTCAGGGGCCGGCAATCAGACAACAACCACTTTTGACCGTGTGTACTTCAAGAAAAAAGTCTCTTGGCAGCCGTTTTTAGCGTTGCATATCGTTGTGTACAGGTCTGCTAGAACAGGACTTGTCAATTCTGTCTCCCAGAGCAAGACTTGGGTGTGTCTGGAGATGGTGTCTATAGTAGCCAGTTATGGCTACTCACATTTTTTTTACTAGGAATGATTATTTTCTAAGCGAATTGGGGGGTCACCCAAGTGTCAATCTGCGAATGTGATGTTCTGTTCTCTGTCAAACTGCTCGCAGCCATGACGCAAGAGCTCTGGCAGCGGCTACACACTGCAGAAGGCGACCAGAAACTGGAGGTGGCGCACGACTTGTGGCTTCGAAGCACAGCGACTGCTGTCAGGAGAAGAACAAGTGAGTGATCCTGTAAAAATAGGGGGTTTAACAAAGACGATGGTTTTTGATGGGGATATTTTTTGGGATACTAACCATGAGAATTGTGATATCCTTCGGTGTCATAAAAAACATGGCTGGGAAATCCCCGATAAATGGAGGTTTCGTTCGCTGGGAGCATCATCGAACCAGCCATGCGGGATTTCCAACCAGCCATGGAACTGATTACCAGAGGGTCCTGAGACTTGAACGCCAAACATCATTTTGTCCTGGCATGGCCAGAGAAACACCTTCGGACAAATGGATAACGGGACACGTTGCAAAACAAAGCACCCCAAATTGGTTTCTGCCTGCGCAACAACATGTCGTCTCTTATTTTGGCTAGATTTTTATGACCTGGAAAAAAACAGTTTATGGTTGCATACCACCGGTTTGGTGATACGTTTGGGTTTCCATTTTTGAGAAACTCCAAGAATAATTCCGAAATTTCATGGTCAAAACCTCCAAGGCTTGCTGTAGCGCCTCAGCATCAGATCTGCTGGCTCTTTGAATGGCTGGCGGGTGCAGTGTTGAACAAGAAAAATGCTGCTGTACCCAAAGAAGGCGGCCGCCTTCCTGTGGTGATTTTCTCCTGACACCTGAATTGTACAATCTCGTTACATATGGTCATAGGTCAACACCCATGGAAACCCCAGATTTTTACACCAACATAGCTCGGAAAGGGATGTTCAGCCGTTCAGCCCCCAAAAAATGGGCGCTGTACGTATCGACCCATGGCATTTTTTTTTGGTGTTTTTGAGGTGGATGCCTGTTTCTGGACGCTTGCAAGTTGGGTGGGGTTTTAGGTGAGGAGTTTTTTTGTTTGATGAATGAATTCAGATTTGGCCACCACTTAGAACTGCAGCATTTCACCTGGCTAAGAGGAGCATACCCGCAATTCCAACTGCCACTTGACTCACCTCACTACAAAGGGGGTTCACTGTGATTAGTGCCTTACAAAAGTTGTAAACAAATTCTAACATGCAGGTATAAATCTGACAGAAGACCACAGATTTTCAAAGAGAAAACAGGACCCATTTATTGGAATTTATTATCATCCGATCTTAGTTTTTTTCTTTGTCTGGATTCGGATTGTTTGTAATTGTAATAGCCTACGTCCCAGCTAATTTGTCGTTTCTCATGTGAGCGAGTATCAACCCACGTGCAAGTAGAATTGGCCTCCCATTGAGAAGTTCTTGTTGTTCGCCAATCCCTCTACTTTGTGTTTTGCTATGCAAACAACCTGTGAATGTGGGTCCTTTTTCCCCGCAAAGATGGAAAGGGATGGCAACTTGCCGTTTTCCCTGCGAAAGTCGGACCGCCGTTTCTCACAGGTTCACAGCTGCTTTGTGATGTATTAGATGCCCTTCCTGAGAGCTATCCACTCCATTCTCACGTCCGGGTCCCATTTTGGGTGGCCCAGGGATTCGCCACAAATTCGGTGGCAGCCATGATGGTGCGGTGGATGGTGCCGAAAGATTTTGTTTAATCCCATCATATAACCAGATATAATCACTATTATTGGTATTATAACCACTATTATTATAACCAATGGGAGATTCCTCAGGGATTCGATGGGTGACTCTGTGAGGTGTCGTGGCTCTTGGCCCTACCTCTGCGAGAGCCATCTGTGGCTCCCGCGCTCCTGGAGTCTTGGGCGGATGGAGACTGGTGAAAACCCCGTTTTGGGTTTGGCTTAAAAAAAGGGGGAATACCCCAAAAGGGAAGATTGTGATGCACTCTGGGCTTTTGGGATTTACAATCTTGAGAAAATTCCATGCATAGAAAAAAAAATCCACATATTTCGTGCCGAATCAACTAATTTTTGGCCTTGTCTTGGGAAACCAGCTTGGTTGAAATGATCTTCCCAAGAATTTCCACTAGATTTGCTTTCCAATCCAAGAGGAAGACCGCTTTGCGCTCAGGAGAGATTACTGAAACGTCCACCATTGGCTTTTCACCCGAGTGTGGAACAGGTGCGCCGAGCTTGTTTCTTCTACTGGAAGGGGAGGGTTGGCATCATACTTCAAACGGCCGATTGGCCATGTGGGGTCTGAAAATGAGAGATATAACCTTGAAGCAGCCATCAAAATTAGTCATTTCCAGCCAAGAATCCATTATTTGGGTGCCAAAATGGCTGCGGAAGCCATGGAGGCCATGGCTATTTTCCAGAAGATGAGTTTGTCAGAGCCGGAGTCCTGGCTCTGACGACACCGCTTGACACATTTGGCACTGCGGCTACCATCTTGGTTAGGGGGTTGAAGCGGTTTGGCGTTTTTTTGGACCCAAGTCTTTTCCATTCTTTTCCCGGGCAGTTAGGGACCCTAGGGATAGTGCCAGTTCCAGCTTGGGGTTGCGGCAGATAGACTCACATCCCATTGGAGGGACCGACGGATTCCAGGAAACCTTGATCGGAGGTCGTCCACCACCATCTGGGTCTTCAAATGGGGGCATACGCCATGTGGGGGCAATTTTCATAGGGACAATTATGTACCCTCTGGTAAACCAACATAACTATGGAAAATCACAATTTTTAATGGGACAACTCACTATAAATGTTAAATTACCAGAGGGTATGATAAATCACGCGACGGGTTCCATTTCTTGAGACAATCCCAGATGTGAAAGAAATCGAATGGAGACTGACGGTTTTGCACATGTGGTGAACCCAGGAAGAACGTAATAAGAACCGTCTCGATTTTTTTAGATGTTTGTACCCCGCCCCAAATGGTAGAAATAGGTTTGCAGGTATGCGCTCTGATCCTTTTCTTTCCCACATTGTGGCACACAAATTCAGGTAAACAAAAATGACACGTGGTTATTAATTGGGTTTGATAGGTAATTATTGCCATATATTGATAACTATAACTTTTATTGGTAATTATTAACTCAATATTATTTTCTTTCTCCTTTACCTGTTCTTTTTCCTTCCCCATTGATCACATCCCCAGGTGCGCTGTCCGGCTGCTGTTGCGGGCACTTGAGTCAGCCGCACCTAAGAAGGCCTGGCATCTTTGGGTATCAAAAAGGGGGATGAAACTTATGTTTTTGATCGTGACAGTTTTGGTGTCCATGTTTGAGAATTAAAAACCTTGTTTTCCTCGACATACCATTGAAATCCGCAAGATTAAACACACAAAAATAGAGGTTGAACCAACAACAACGACAACAACAACAACAACAGTGTTTTTTGCCAACAAACAAACGGTGATTTCAGCATCGAATGTGGAGACGTCTAGCAATGAGGAAATGCTTGGAGGGGATCTTCCCGTCGGTCCCAGGTGGATCGACGGGACAGGTCTTGAACCATCCCAAACATACAAAACCAATTGTTGCTGGGGAACCTATCCATAACTGGTTTGGTGGTTTGGAACATGACTTTTATTTTCCATCATATATTGGGGATGTCATCCTTCCCATTGACGAAGTCCATCATTTTTCAAGATGGCTATTGCACCACCAACCAGATAAATATTCCCTATTTTTGGATGCTCAATCATTCCTACATATTCCTACTTTCTACGGATTGATAGCAACATCCCGATTTTGTACATTTGCGGGTTTCAATAAATGGGGGGTATAGATGGTATTTAATGGAACATTCCATTAACATGTATGAAACTGAACTCATGGCTGTTTCCTCATCAGGCCTTTCGCGCCGTGCTGGATGCACTTCCGGTCTTCGCAGGAGCCAAAACGAAGCAGCAGCCTCCGTAGATGTTGGCGGGGACGGTGCTTGAAAGGTTTCATTGGTTGGGTTGAAACGACTCCACTGGATGAATATATAATAATATATATATGTATATATATATATATATATGTAGATATATATATGTATATATATATATATGTATATATATGTATATATATATGTATATATATATATGTATACATACACATGTTTTTTTGTTGAAGATCCCAAAGTTTTTGGGCTGCAGTCGCTGCTATTGAGAAAACTTCAGCGATCTTTTTTTCCAGGATCTGGGGAGGACAAGAATGACAGTCAAAATGAGGAGGTGCCGGAAATGTTTCACAGGTGAACACATTGTGTGGTCCAAACGTGTCCAAACGTGATATTTTCATAATCCGTTCCATGCTCCATGACATTTCATCTTAGTTTTTTTTTGTTTTTCCCAACTTACGGAATGATGGAGACATTTTTGTGGCGGCTTGGTAGCCCACCCCGCCAACCAGTTGATTGATTCATTTCAACAACAATTATGGGAGAGTTCCGGAATGGGTTTTGGGGAACCTATTTTTCGCTGGTAAAACCTACAGTGGTTTGATCCAATCCATGGATTTTCCTGTGGGTTTTTGTCCCTTTAATCCATGAATTGAAGAAATGAGACAAAGTCCCATAAACACACGTAAACATACTATAAAGTGGGGTGCAACCACATTATTTCTGATGGTTTCTAACATTTCTTACATCACCAGATCATTGGCACCAGGCGCTGGTGGCGTTGGTGGCATTGCTGGTCTTGCCCCAGCAGCTACCAGGCTTCGAGGTGTTGGCAAACAACTGGGAGGCGAGGCCGAACCAAAAACGGGGAGATGAGCAAAGATGTTTCTGCCTATCCATCTATCTATAACTGTATAAATCGATGTAAGGATATATCATTGTATATATATATACATATTATACGATTTATCTATTTATACATATGTATATATATATAGATATCAATCTATCGTCTTCTGTATCTATATCTATATCTTTTTCTATATCTATATCTGTATATATATATATATCCATTATATATATATATCCATCATATATATATACATACATCATATATATATATACATACATATATCTATAGATGAACATTCATTTTTTTAATAGCGCGGCTCAGTATTTTCTGCATTGTCATTTTTCCATTTTCTTGCTTTTTCATTGCACACTTTTTTGACATAATACTGTAGATGTTACATTTTTTGATTCAGCAGCAAAGTCTTGAAGAATTCAGCGTGTTTTTTTTTAAAGACTATATATATATATAGTCAGCAGACTTGGTTTGGACATTTTTTCAGCAAGCAATTTGTGGCGTTTTTTGCAGCACAAATGGTGTCTGAGGCAATGGGACTGAGACATTGATTTTTACAAGATCCCGAAGCAACAGAGATACGTTTTTTGCAGGTCAGAGGCACGATCAAGACTCAAAAGGCTGATCAAAAAAAGTACTGTATATGTATAATATATATATATATGTATAATATACATATATATATGTATAATATACATTATATATATATATACCTGCAGCCTCATGTGGTTGCCTTTTTTTTGCCTTTAGAGAAATAATGGGTTTCTGGAATTAGAGGAAGTTCTCTGGAAATAGCGGCAATTTCTTGGATTGCTCAAGGTGTGGATGGTGACATCAATCCAAACAGTCAATTCTACTGGGTAATGATGGGCTAATCCATACAAACAGAGTGACTTAACCACATTACAACCTGATCCCATGCTGTTGACCCACAATCTTTTCTCGCCACGGCAATGTGTTGGCCAATGGCTGTCTTCACTTCTTTGGCCTGGCGGTGCGCTTGGCACGCTTGCTACTTGTGGGCACTGGGTCATGATGATGTGGGGCCATGTAAAAGTGAAATGTGTGGCACAGAATGCTGTTTCAATTCATGTGTTTATGATACATTTCGGCTTGCAATCAGCTGCTAGTGTGTGAGTGTGGTTTCTATCACAACGTGACACTTCGATCCACTATGTCGAGTGGTGGGGTGAAGAAGGAGGTGAAAAAGGAGATTGGGGGTGACCCAGGTGTACCCCCTGTGGTTGCAGTTCCTGCCCCTAAGTCTTCTGCAAAGCGGGCCAAAACTCTTGATTTTGGCTTGGCAGAGAAGTGGGAGGATTCCAGGCTGATCAGGGATTTGGTTCGTGACAATGGGCGATTGGTTCGTTGGCTTAGTGAAGAACAAATCAACGTCATCAACCTTGAGACCTTGGGGATTAATAGCACTTTGCTGTGTACTGTTGCTGATTATCACTGCCAGCGGTCGTCTGTTGTGAAAGCTCCCACCATTGACTTCTTGAAGTCACAGGTCAGGGGTAAAAAAGGGGTAGTTGAAATACAAGGTTTGCAGTTTGTCCCAAGCTGATGTTCAGTTTCACCATGTTTCAACAATTTTGAATTTATACTCTGAATTTAAAGGGACTTTTCCCAAGCGCCCCCTTTAGGTTTGGAAACTCCAGACTCTCCTTTCGAAGTCCATGTGCCCGGTCAGCATCCATCATGACGCATGGGCCATCAAAAAGCTCTTCAGTCATTCTTTGAGAAGGACTGGCAATGACAGTCGGAAGTCTTTGGATGACAACAGTCCCAATCGACGGGTTCCTTTGTCTACTGCATTAAAATTTTCCATGGGTTTGTGTGTGTATAACTGGTTTTTGTTTTTCCCCCACATTCCCCTTCCTATTTCATTGTCTGCCCATGCTTTGTTTCGCCCAAGGCCCCGGGAGTTTCGGAGTTCTACGATGTTCTCTTTCGGCATTGGGATGGTCCTTTGCGAGCCCTTCACGCACAAAGGCTGGAACGGGCCAAGGCCAAGGGCTGCAAGGATGTTGACATCCTGGTGGTTCCTGATGATGATGGGACAGACCTCGAAGCGCTTGAGAACAAATCCCTGGAACAAGCCAAGAAGGGGATCGTGGTAGAGGGTATCATAGTGATCGATGGTGATGAGACTGTTGAGTTCACGGGTGGGAAGAGCACGGTTGGGGAAAAGGAGACCACAGTTGCAAATGGGGTGAGTTTGAATGATGTTTCCAAGACCACGGGTGGGAAGAGCACGGTTGGGGAAAAGGAGACCACAGTTGCAGATGGGGTGAATTTGAATGATCCTTCACTGCCACAGCCTCCTCTTCACAGAGCTGGTGCACGTGTGAACATCGATGATGTCTTGAACCCACCTGGGTTGCCACCCCTTGGACCCTATGACCTTCCTGGCCTACCAAATGCCCTTCGAGCCCCACCTTCAAGTCTTGATCAATGCAATGCTCGACTTGACATACTTCAGAGACTTACTTTCTTATTAGCATATTATATATATTATATTTGTTATAATAATATTCTGATTATGTTTTTTCAGCACATCGAAATATTTGTTTTGGCTGTTCCATTGCTGTTGGGGGCCCCTCCCAGGAAAGCTTTGGAGCAAAAGCAAAAGATGAGAAGCACAGTCCCCAGTGCTGCGTCCACACCAGATCCAAGCACTGTGCAAACACTTCCGTATGATGCTGAAGAAGCATCTCAATTCTTGGCGGCTTCCAAGACCCCGGAGATTGTTGACACCCCGTCTCCATCTGACCCTAAGTACATCAAGCACCTCGAGATGACTGAGTGTTCTTGGTGGAAAGTGGAAGCCCTTGCCAACAAAGAGAACATGGCCCCTGCTCAAAATGACCTGGTGAACGTGAACGATGATGTTCTCGCCAAGCAGCTTCAAAGCTGCGTTCCAGTCCCAGCTGAACATCCCTGTGAGCCTGTTGATGTTCCCATGGGCATGCCTGCTGTTTCCTTACCTGCAGCTCATGACACCTCTATGCCTACGGAGGTGGCTCAGGGTATGGTGACTGACACTGAGACTCACCAGCCCAAGTTGGAGACTGTAGTCAAGCCCGACATCCCCCAGACCAGTGCCAAGACTGACTTGGTGGTGGACAACACGAACCCTGCTGAGCCCAACAAGCACCAGATCAGCATCGACAATGCTCAGCTGCCCGCGGAGGAGAACAAGAGTGTTCAGCCCAAGGAGAGCCAGATCGAGATCGACGATGTTCAGCCGAAGGAGAGCCAGATCGAGATCGACGATGTTCAGCCCAAGGAGAGCCAGATCGAGATCGACGATGTTCAGCCGAAGGAGAGCCAGATCGAGATCGACGATGTTCAGCCCAAGGAGAGCCAGATCAAGATCGGCAATGCTGAGCTGGCCATGTTGGAGAACAAGAGTGTTCAGCCCAGCGAGGACAAGCTCAACAACGGCAAGACCACCAATATCACTAAGGAACCAAATGCCAAGACCAACAATGAGACCAAGAAGTTTGATCACCTACCTTCACACCTTCCTGGTGATGATGATGTTGAAGTTGTTCCTGATGATCCTGCACCCATGGCCTCAACTCAGCATGAAGTTGTGGTTTTGTTGGAGGACATGCTCGCGCAGGGATTGGATCTTACTCAGGCAATCAGCCAGTTGAAGGAGGGCATGGATCTTACTCAGGCAATCAGCCAGTTGAAGGAGGGCACTTGTGAGAAAGGTGAAGATAATGAAGCACCAGTGGTTTCGCGCATTAAGCAGTTTGCCAAGAAGACGATCGCTGACACAGGTGTCAATGAGGATGGTGATGAGACAGAGATGGGTGAGAATGGTGGCAAACCTGATGAGTCACTCAAGCCGAAGGCAAAGCCCAAAGCCAAGGCCAGTGCAAAAGCAAAGGCCAAGGCGAAGGCCAAAGCCAAGGCCAGTGCAAAAGCAAAGGCCAAGGGCAAGGGCAAGGGAAAATCCACTGCCAGACGCCCTCGAGTCAGTGCCAAGCACAAAACTGATGGCGAAGATGCAGATGATGGAGAAGCTGGTGATGATCATGGTGACATGGAACCCGAGAACAAGAAGGATGATGATGAAGATATGAAACCCGGGAGCGGGGACCACCATGGTGAAGCCTCGGAACCGGAAGCCTTGGAACCTGAGAGCAAAGAGATCGAATCGACTGACGTCAAGCCTGTGGAGAAGCCTGTCACTGGAGATGGACGTGTGGCAAAGAAAACCAGGGCATCCAAACGTGCCCGAAAGGATGGATCTGAACCCAAAGATGAACCTGAACCTGAGGAGAAAGAGCCAAAGGTTGCCCGCAAAGAGACCAAGAGTTTTGCGCGCAGGAACTGTCCAACTACCTCCCCTGCCAAGGACAAGTGGATGGCGATCTCTCAGGTCTTCAAGAACGAAGCCCAGAACAAGCTCAAGGACGCTGGTGAAAGACCCTCCAAGTGGGAGGACGGGTGAGGGATGGGTCAGGGAGGGGTTGGGTGTATAGTGTTTGAAAAAATACCCAAAAAAATTGGTTGTTGCTAGTGCTTCCCATTGTTTCCCTGAGGAGCCTTTCTGGAACATGGTCGCCAAAGCTGTCAAGAAAGCTGAGGACAAAGGTTCGTTGGAGATTGGTGATTACACGAGGATCGCCCGTGCTCGCCTTCCACAGTTGTTTAGCTTAGTGGATTAGAGTGTCCTAGATGGATCCTGCCTGTGGTGTCACACTGCAGTGCTTTTGGGCCGTATTTCATGAGTCCAGCTTCTTAGTCGATAAGCATGGGCAGGCACCATATACTCATTGAATCATACAATGTTTCCTTGTTTAGTGGGGCGGAAGTTTCTCCACTCAATCCTAACAAGGATGCTGTTTTCCTAGTATTCCTTACTGCCTTGGCTTGTTGTGAAGCTGCTTGCCACAAACTGGCTCCAGTGCTTAGACAACTGCACTGGGAAGTTTCTTTCATGGGTATCATGTGTACTGCACACGTGTCAATCTGGGTGTCACGAGCTTTTGGGTCCGGCACATTGCCACGACGTGGCTTAGATCTGCTTGGAAGATGTGAGAAAATGTGTGCATGGATTTCTGATTCACACTACAAGTTTGAAACCCTTGCAAGTATAATTGCTCTGGGCTCTTTGTTTGGGATTTCACACGGATTGTGCATCAGCCCCCTAAACTCCGTGCAATCCAGACCCATTCCCAGCCTCTCACATGTCGTTCACAACATCGCTAATGCCCATCCGCCTATGCCAGGTGGAATGTATGGCTTGCGGAAAGGCCAGATCGGTCTCGCCAAGTTTGGCCTGGGGCTTGCCTACTCTAATGGAAATAAACGTAAACCTGACATGTTTGAAATCTCAACAGGGATATTTTCCTGCCCTTGCATGCTGATGAACTGACTTGAACATTCGTACAAATCCAGTCTGATTTGGAAAAGGTTTATAACACTATATGGCATCCATGAGTGTGGCTCTGAAGACTCAGTTGCATGACTGCTGCCCGCAGCCAAATGGGTAACTTACCGTTTACACATTAGTGGGGTTGATCTCTGGCAATGGGACCTGATGAGCTGGACATCTTTTTCAAGCGGATGTTTGCTCTGCGTGTCCCAAAAGATTCTTGGTCAAGAATGCTAGAAGATGGAAAATTGTGAAAAGGACGTGTATCTTATAATATGGGCCTATACTACCACTACCCAAAAAAAAAATCAATAGATGGGTATGTCTCAAAATAATTAATAAGGTGTCCTTTTCGTTATGAAAAAATATCATAATTTTTAGGGTATTTTTTTTGATCCCTATCCAAGTGACGATTTGGAGCCACCCAGCACAAGTTCAAATACATAATAGGCATGCAAATATAAATATTATATTATATATATATATTATAATATTTAATATATAATATATAATATTATATATATTATATATTATATATTATATATTATATGTTTGTTTTAAGCTGTAAGTAAACAGCATCAAGAACACTTGCAAAACTGGCTTTCAACATGTACGGGGTATCCAAGCCACAAGTTTTCCAAACCCGTCCGTGCTGCCTCCAAGGTGATCATCTTCTTAGTTCTCCTCATCTCCTGGATTGAAGATCCCGTCGATGTGAAAAAGGACATTGAGGTGATGGAGGTGTTTTCTGGAGTGGGTCGCATTGCCCGGTGTGCCAATTATGTTGGCTATAATTCAGTTGGCTTCGACTTGGTTGATGGGATTTCAAAATCCAAACAGTCTGGGAGAAGAAACCCTCTGGACTTAAACTCCAATGGTGGATTGGTTCTGGCCATCAAGCTTATTCTACGTTCAAAGTTCAATGCCCTGGTGCTGTTCTGTGCAATTCTGTGCAGTTCTTTTGTCCCAGTGAATCGTGGAACGGGAGCCCGGGATTTACTTGTTCCAGAAGGTGATGAGAACGTAGTATCAGTGAGAAAATCTAACAAACTCCTGTCGCGGAATCTTGGGTAGATTTTCAAAAGAAATTATTTATATTAGGGTGCCCTCATAATCCTGGTGTTTTTTTTTTGTGCTACCCAGATTAGCATCCAGAGCTATGCCCATGACTGGATCAATGCTCAGGACAATCCTTCTGATGGTTTTGGCCATCTGCGCTGGTGGAACCGTATGCTTGGAGAATCCTGCCAACTCGCTAGTATCGCTGCAGGGCCGATTTGTCTGGCTGGTGAGATTATTAGAGAAATTCAATATTCCAGCACCTCATCTCATTTACTGGAATGATCCATGAACTTGGGATAGGATGGGATGGTCGCCCCTGAAAACACTGGTTTAACTATGTTTAACTTGATGTGATTTTTCCCCCATGATTGGAACTGTTGATGCAGAAACTGTTCATTTCCCACACTTCATTTAATTGCACGTGTTTGCAACTAAGTTCTTTAAAACGATGTTCTGGATGCGGAAACACCTTGCGGCCACCTGGAAGCGCACCTGGCTGTGGTCAACTTCAAGCCGTATCCGGGCATTGGACCTTGGCCAGTTGTTGCCGTCGGAGCGGAAAACGTTGGTGAAAACCACAATCCGGAAGAAGGGCAGAGATGGAAAAGTAAAATGGCAAGGGTCCAGAGCCCTCAAAGGAACTCAGCATTTTGATAGCATTATGGTTTTCAATTGTGCAATTTCAATTTGAATGCCAAGTTTTTACCAACTGAACTCATTGGTGGCACAACTGCTGTAGGCAGTATACATATCGGTTTGCTCGTCACATGGTGGAATTATTCCCTGGCTTCATTGATGACCAACCTCACACAAGACTTCCCCTGGCAACTAGTTTGCACTTACGTTTTCTTTCTTGGTTTCACTACAATTTCAAAGTTGATCATATGGTCTCAAAACTGGATGGGATGATTGGGGTTCCTGAAATAATATATTATACGACCCTGACATAAACATTGTTCTGGATCCTGACCCATAGCCCTTAAAAGACTACCATTGTTTGGTTTAAATCTTTAGCATGTACTGAACATACCATCCCAATGATCCCAAATCTAAGGTATCAGAGAAGACAGTATTGCAACTCTTCCAAGAAGCTGACTTTAGTGAGCAGTGGGATGACTGCTCTGATTTGCAGGATGTTCTAATCTACTGCCGGGGAAGCAAAAGGCTTCGAATTCCGGATTCTTGGAGGGCTTCAATCCCAAAAAAATTGTAGTCCATTGTCTCACGAGGGCCCGTGCCAAATGCCCAGGGATAGGCTTGGAGATCCTGGCAGTGCTGCATTGAACTTGCTGCTTGGGAATGGTGGTTTGGGTGCCCCTGTCATGATCTGTTTGTTGAGGTGTTTGGAAAAACTCAAGTAGAATTTGTTGATAGTCCTTTGCTATTTGTCATCCATGTTTGACACGGTCAAAATGCTTATTTTGAACTACTGAGGAGATTCCCCTTTTTGGTTCCCAAAATTACGAAATCCATTATTCATAAAAACTATGAATAGTATATCCCATGTGGATTGTTCATGATGAATTTCACATTTTCTTCATAAACTCCGTGAGTTGCTCATATCCCAAGGGTCAACAAAATTATTCATGAATAATGTTCATGGTTGAACCTTATATTATTCATAAAATCCATGATTTAAATGTTTTTTTATGGACTTCATAAAATCCATGAATAAAATGTTCTATGAACTTACCAAACTCTTCATGGAATTCATGAATAAAATGATGTTCTTTATATGGGTTTGCCAAATTCTTCATGAAAATCATGAATAAAATGTTGTTCTTTATGGCCAAAGTCTTCATGAAATCCATGAATAAAATGTTGTTCTTTATGGGTTTACCAAATCATTCATGAATTCTATGAATAATTGGTCAAAAACCAAAAAAATCAGAAATTTTAGCGGCAGAAATCCCCGGGTTAGCGGCGGAAATTCTTGGGTTAGCGGCAGTTTTTGCCAGTATAGCTGTTTTTGGCCCTGGCTTTTATAGTCCATGTTGGGGATTTCGCTTCCTTCTCGTACTTTCAGTAGCCAAAGCCTCATGGATGGTGAAGCCCTTGTTTCTAGTCAAAACTGGACCGACATGTCTGAAGAAGAATTGATGGCTGAAGTCCAGAAACTTGAGGACAGGGATCCCGTGAACTAAGTTATTGCATTTGCATGTTCAAAATGACCCATGCACATATAATATATAGTAGATCGGATTTCTATAGTCTATTTGTTGGATGGGGCCAGACAACCAACGTTCAATCACCATTGACCCCTTCCAGGAGCTGAAGAAACAGATTGAACACAAGCGACCAGTTGCGGCTCCTCTTCGTGGAACTGGCGATGCTTCCATAGATCCTTCTCAGCCCAGTGAAGTGGTTATTCGGCGGGCAATGCTCTGGGAATTTGAAACAACCCTTGGTGTTTGCTGGGCTAGCGTTTAACCTCTGAAGGTGTAAGGGTGCAAAAACTGAATGTATATCCTAGATGGGGTTGATTGGAGCTGTAAAATTCCAATTTGGTTTTGCTGATAGCTTTCCCATTGTTAAACAAATTACCCCTAATAGATGTATATTTATCCATGTTTTTTTTTCAGTTCAAATCAAGCTGATTTGTTCAACCAAACCGTGGGAACTGAATATGTTATACACAGCTCACCTCTAGTAATTGGTGTTCCAACTTGTAACGCTCCCTTAGAAGTTCAACTTGTTTTGAACTGAGGCTAGTCTGGACCCTTATCTTAATTTTATCTTTGACATGCCCTTGGAAGATGCTGGTGTCCAAGAACCTGATGCTGATGCCCAGTCCCCGTTGCTTGCCCGGCAGCTGTCCTTCGCATCTTCTAAGCCAACTCCTGAGGAGGGTGGTGATCCTGTGGTCCCATCCGTAGTGGCTAGCTTGTCCCAAGCGAATGCCAGAAAAAGGGTAGCTAGGTTGATGCAGCGCAAGGCTAATGGAACTTACAAGGTCCCTGATGACTTGGTGAAAGCTTGGAAAGATGGAGACCAAGACCGGCTGGTTTCAGAATTCCTGGATGCTGGACTGGACAAGGATCCCGTTGTTGAGGTTCCCACATTTCAAGATTCCCCAACAAAAATGAAAAATCTTAACCGATATTGTCTCTCATGTTCTCCCGTAAGTGTGGCTTTAGATGCCATCTTGTTTCAAATATATACCACTGCCCAATGGAGGTTCCCACGCCTGTAAGTAAAGTTAGGGTCTACAAAGGGGTTGGGTTGAACCTATTTTGGCAAAGGGCTTTCAGCCCAGCATCTCTTGTTGTTTGCCCCTTTTAATGGAACAAAACCATCATTGAAAAAACATATGACAATACTCTTTTAAGGACCCCATAGTTAACATATGGGTTGGAATGGACTCATCTTTATCCCCGTTCAAGCATTGTTCCTCCCCGAGAACTTATCCTTATTATATAATATATCTCCATTCCAGCATTGCTCCTCCTCGAGAACTCATGCAGGATGTGTTCATCAAGCGGAGCATCAAACGGATCCGGGAAAAGACCGCGGAGAAGGAGATGTGGGTTGGTGGGAAATTTGTTTCGGAGACTCATATGCGTGAAGTGCTGAAACTGAAAGAGCCACTTGGCCTAACAATCTTTTCTGTGTTCTTTTGGTATGCAATATTTAACCTATATGGACCTTATAATAGTTCGGTTGAATACACTGGTTCAAACCAATCATTATCCTTGTAAATTGTCGGATGGACGTGTCATGAACAAACAATTCAGGTCGAGAATCAAAGGCGTCAAGGAGACTTGTGAGAAAAAGAAAGGGTGGATTCGGTTTCTTGGCCGAAGGGCTATGGTTCCTGGTGATATGGATAGCTCTGAATCATACAACTTCTGAAACAAACTGGTAAGTGGTTTCACACATGTTTTTTTGTAGGAGGGATATGGCCCCTATACCGTCCATTATAACCCTGATAAAGTTTGTCATACCTTTGACAGCATTCTTCAACATGCTTAGCCCTGCTGAGTCGTGACCAGTACGAGAAGAACGTGAAGCTGTATTGGTACGAGGACAACCCAGAAGGCCGTAAGTTGAACCTTGGTGATACCTGACATTTATGGGTGGGCCAAACCAAGTTAATGATGCATTGGCCAAAACAAACGAATGGGAACCCCCACATGGTGAAGTTGGTTGACAACTTGGGATTTGTACTCGATTTACGGTTCTTACATCTGTTGTTTGGGCCTCTACATTAAAAAACAAATATAATTATATGGCCCCTCTGGTGAAGATTTTGTTTGGGGCAGTTTGGGTTTTTACATACAACATAATGCAACATCTTGAAATATCTTGAAACAACTTAGGGTAGAATAATAGTGGGCCACAATCCCCTCCAGGGTGTGCCTTTGCTTTCTTCCCTCCCGGATGGTGGCAGAATGCTGAATGGAATGGTGCCAAAAGAATAGTCGTGCTGGGACACATTTATTTCATTTGATATTATATCCTTTTGCGATCCTGATAACTTAGGAAGCGCAAGCGCACCACGGCAGTTGAAGAGGACTCGTCAGATGTTGGTGATTCTGATCTTAACAGTGATCTCGAACTGGACAACGCTTTTGAACACAAAGAGATCCCCATTGCGCCAGGCCAGCTGTTGCGCAACAAAAGTTAAAAACAAACTGACAGCTTTTGTTTTAAAGGTCACATTTGTTTCCACATCACTTAAGAATAATATACGTGTTTTATTGCACCTCTTTTCTATCCATGAGTTCTGGTTCTGTTGGACTTGTGATTCTCACCATAATTTGGTACGTGGGGAATGGGCCCCCACCCTGCCAGAAGAAGCTGCTTCCAGCGACCGGGCGGACAGCAGCCTCACGGAAGCCCAAGCTCTGAAGCAAATCACATTCCCAGAAATGGATTCGGATGGCCTCCCCAGTTGTTACATCCCAAAGGTGATAGCTTGTGTGGGAAAGTGGCAACTGAAAATGGATGATCTAGCCTCCCAACTCCGGTCAAGTGGGAAGAATTCCTCCATCACTCAGCTTCTAGGTTTGGTTTACTGGTTTACTTGTTTATTCAACTGGTTTGTAAAGTTTTCATGGTTTCCCCCCAATGCTCAACTTCCCCGTCATCATCTGCTCTCGTGCCTGAGGTTGGGTGAAAAATCCTCCCAGCGATCCAAGGGCCTGGCCAAGCGTGCTGATGAGATTTCTGATCTGAACACTACTGGAATTGTTGATGGGTTTACGGGTGTGTACCTTGCCTCAAAGAAAAACTTTTGCCTGGGAAGGTTCTAAACTTAACCGCAAAATTGGGGGACTGATTCCCGCTGAGGCAGCAATCGCAATTGCGAAAACTCTTCGATGAATGCAAGAGGGAGCGCTTTGGTTGCACAGCGTTGTGGGCACCAGGTGGTTTTATGAAATAATTCCTGCTCGCCCCATGGATCACATTCATTTCTTGGTTCTTGAAAATCACATCCAAATATCCAATCTGGCCTTTTAACCCCAGGTGTCGAGAAGCTCTGTGCCTGCAAAGCCGTGCTTTGCTGCTTGGAAGTAGTTCCTGGCAGGGAGGGACTTTAGCCCGCAAAGAAGCAGTCGCACTGGGTTCTTACAATTGGGACCATCACATACTGACAGGAGCTGCCAAAAAAAAAACTCGAGGGTACATTCATCAATGCTTACCAAGGGCATGCCACAATAAGATCGGAAGGGGTAACTATTAGATTATGTTAACTGTATTTTCAAAAACATCATATCATCATCATTATCATCATCACCATCACTGTCACCATCACCATCATTGTCACCATCACCATCATGGTCACCATCACCATCATGGTCACCATCATTATCACCATCACCCCTCCATGAGTGGTTAACATCCCTGCCATCTGTTCAGCTGTTACGGGCCCTGATAAGCAATGTTTTTTTTTCCGCAATGGTATTCATTATATTTCATAAAACCGACAACAATTTAGTAACACGTAAACCAATCAATTAACAATTGATTAGTATCAACTCCGTGATCAATATCAAAACCATTATATCATCATCACCATCCTAAGCAACTGGCATTAGGTGATTAGTGGCACTGCAGGGGGACCAGACTCGTGTATGATCATCGACTATGGGGATGTAGTTCCCAAGCTAATCATCAAGGAAGGGGCATGGTATTTCCGGATGGTAAAAGTTAAACTGGATTGCAGTTAAAAGCAGCTATCTGGGCCATGGGGTTCTAGCAGTGATGTCCCGCCCCAGGCCGTTTCTCAAGCACTTGAAGCAGGCGAACAAGCTGAAGGTCAAACAGGAGCAGTGAGAGATTTTAAGATGAATGGTCAGAGCCACATTCTGCAAACTGTGTATTTCCCGTTGAAATGGTTTGGTCTCAAACTATAATCCTGTTTCAAAGAGATCTAATGTTTTCCCACTAAAAGATATTGAGCCCTTGCTTTAGATGCAGCTTGGTTGTCCCTGGCCTGTTCCATCTTTTGGACAAAGCGTGTGCCTCGGGGTCGGTTCTGGAACAAAGTACCCAGAGCTTTGAAACATGGCTGTTTCACGCTTCCAACCCTGTATCGGGGTGCTTTCCTCAAAGTGCGTGTTTTCACACATTTGATCGCTAGAGTTCTGGAGAGAGAGCTGGAAAGAAATTGTATGAGTTCTTTTGTGATTCCTTTTCACCAATCAATGTATGTTTTTATCTGTTCACTGCATAGTGAATATGACATTTTTTATGCCTACAGGCCCTACACAAACAATAGGTCTTGGGCCTTTAACAGAGGTTTGTCTCAAAATGGAGTACCCTTAATAAGCACCAATTTAATGGGGTACATCATCATCAACCAATGGTTTAGGGGTACCCCATTGTCAGGCATATAACCCCTATGTTGATTAAAACCACTCCTTGAGTCTCAGAAATCATACATCCCGTTCTTATAAAAATGGAATATATAATATAGTTAAGAGCAGTATAGTCACAAGATATTGGGTATATATATAATATATATATATATATTATATTATATAAATTATATATAATATATATATATTATATATTATATATGGTGTATGATCCCTATGTCAGGACTAAACAGTAGGCTCCTAATTTTCTGAGGTCATAATATGTTATGTTAATTATGCAGGCTAAGAAACGACCCCCCCTAATGTATGATATAAATTCATTCTCACGGGATACATGTGGCCAGGTTCAGCCGAAGCTGGTCCTGCCCTGCAGCATGCAATCCAAGTGGTTGCTGATGGTGTTTCTTGGCTGGACATGGATAGTATTCCCAGTAATCCCATGGTGCTGATAGGCCCTGGAATCATTTTCACTGGCCCTTTGCCCAATGAGGCTCCAGCTAGAACTTTGGTTGAGCAAACAGCTGCCCTTGCTGCAGAGCATGGTTCTACCTTCGCCAAAAACACCATGAGTTCAAGCGGAACTAGCAAGAGCAATGTGACTTGTTCACGCATTACATGCATGATACCCAAAACCGGGATGTTTGGGGTTAACCCACAAATCTATTCAATTTCTCTATTGTTGCAAAATGTTACAAAGTTGTCCACTGGTCAAAGTCTTCTCAGGCAAAGCGGACCCATGACCGATTGGTGGCCAAATTCCAATTGTCTCTCCGAGTTCCGGTTTCTGAATATGTGCACTCAGAAGGCCCTTCTACAGCCAGTATTCCTTACTTGAAACCTACTGATCTATTTCGAACCCTGCTGCTGGATGAGTATTCATGTCTATTGTTTGGTGGGTGTCAGGGACCAGAAGATGCAATCGAACACCTTCTTCGGACATTCTGGGAAACCTACCGGAAAGAACATCCAGACCACGAAGTGTTTCAACATCCAGAGCGATTGGGCACAACCTTTCCCATAACAGTTCATGGGGATGGAGGCCGGACCCAAAAAAAGCAGCCTCTAGAAATCTTTTCAGTCCAGCCCGCTTTGGGTTTGAACACGGTGGCCTCGGAGAAGACCATGCAATGCCACTGTGATACCTCAGCCGCATATGGTGGAGGTGGGCTTGGGGCCCCGGAATCACAACATCTGAACAGCAAGTATTCAACGTTTCTGACCCATTTTCTGGTTTTTGCCTACCCTTCAAAGTCCTACGATATGTTTGACAATCTCCTGACTGGGTTTCTACGGGAAGCTATGGATGATTTGGCCTCCGCTTGTGAGCATGGGGTGGTGTCCCAATCTGGAAAAAAATTCTACCCATGCTGCATCGGCTTCAAGCTAGACATGGAGTGGATGGCCAAGGTGGGGACACTAACGCGTTCCTATCAGAATGTGGGTCACGTCAATGAAAAGAATTGTTGCCATGAGTGTGATGCTGGAGAGCCTGGTTGTCCGTTCGAAGATGTGAATGTGAACGCAATGTGGACTAGGACCCGTTTCAACACTTTACCATGGAGACAATCTCCGCCATGGTCAAACATTCCATTCGACCGGGACAAACCCGCCAAGTTTCTTAGAAGGGATGCTTTCCATGTATTTCGACTTGGCATCTGTAGAAATTTTATTGCTAGCAGCATTTACCTCCTGATGTACATGGGGTGTCTCCTGGCTTTCAAGAAGAGCAAATGTTTCCTTCTTGGGCGGTGACAGAGGGCTTATTTTAAACCCAAGCCCAACACACAAGTCCAGTTTTCTAAGGGAAATGGGCTAAGGGGCTTTATGTCTCGGGTCCTCCATGGCTCAGGTTTCAGAGAGCAAGGTGCGAGAAATGCAGTTACTGATTGCCTGATCAGAGCCTTTGGGAACCTGAAGCTGTTTTGTATTGCGCGCTGTCTTCGGATTCAGTCCATCAGGTCGTTCACTATCGCAAACATGCATGCTGCGCGCAATGCGTTTCCTTGGCTGGGTTGCAAAGGTGCAGATTCCATAGTGATTTTGAAGTGGGTGCTCTTCTATGTAAACTTACAGCTGCAACAGCCAGGCTGGTCCCAACAAGACAGGAAGGTCCTAAGTTGGATGTCATTTGCTGCCCGGGCTGGTTTATCCTTTTCTCAAGGTATCCATGGGCATGGAATTTGGTTGGCTCCATCTTGCGTTTCTCATTGCCGCAATGCTGTGCAAAAGTTTGGGACGAACTACGCTCTGCTTGCTAACCATTGCTTGGAAAAGGGGTATTGTCTCTATGGCATGGTTCCAAAACTTCACTCCTACATGCACTTCCGCACTGACTTTGATGACAGCGTGAAGAAGAAACAGGAACACACTCTGAATCCAGCACTGTTTGACTGTTCGATGTCAGAGGACTTTGTGGGTAGAATTAGCCGACAATCTCGGCGAATCCCATTTCGCAGTATTGAGCGGGGAATCCTAGGATCATACCAGGTCAAAGCCAGGATGGCTATCAAACAATTTCTCAAAAAGATGAAGCAGCCAAATGGTGCCACGCGCTAGTGTCAAAAAGACTGAGGCATGGACAGGAGGGAACCATGCCCCCATCCGGGTTGATAGTGCCAAATGGCTGCATGACTAAGTTGGGGGGTCCATGAAGCACATTGCCAAAAATTCAGCGGCAATTTTCCAAATTCAGCGGCAGTTTTTATTTGCAGAGGTGGTTTTCCCCAGTCAAAATCCAAGCGGCATAAAAAGGGACACCCTGGAAGATCCAGGTATGTATATATATATACACATGCTGAAAGCCTACAAATACGTACGAAAATCAAGTTACAGATCAACAGCCAACAACTGGAACCTACCACTAGGCACACCTGGCTCAGGCGGCTTCGGAGCGAGCGGCTGGCGCGGAGGTTTATCAGGTCGCGCACCTATCTGCTGGAGGGAATCCCCATGAGATCCCCATTTTTGTTTTTAAATATACCGGTAAATGAAATCAAGACCTAGGACCGCTAGGATGTTTGTTCCCAGAAACTCCATGAGCAACTCCCGGAGTCTTGGGGAGATGTGTGACGGGATTGGGAGCGGCACACCAGTTTCAAGCATAGCAATGGTCGCCGGTGTTGCGAGGCGCAACTCTTCTCCTGCTTGACAAAGATGATGGCAGAGGACAGATTGTGGGAAAGTGGAGAGCAGCGGATTAGGGTTTCTCAAGCGCAATTGGACCCCCAGAACGCTCAATTTTTGATGGAAACCAGTGACTTGGGATCTCTACCTCTGCGATCTTCGAATCACGTCACTTGGCCGAGACCAGTTTCTTTCGCCATGGTGAAGCCCCAAGCCTTCCCTCCAGGAGAAGTCAAGGAGAGGCTGCTGTCGCCTCCTGGTGACTTTTTTTGCTGCCCTGGTGAAAGCCTTTGGACGGCACCGCGCGAAGGTGCCGGATCTGCCGTGATCATCATCGGGTCATGGCCGGTATCATTTTGGAATGGAGAACTTTTGGGGTAGCCCAATGTTGAGAAACACTCACTTTTTCATGTCAGTTTGCCATGTTGGCAATGGGAATTAAGGGAAATTCTCTCCATGTCTTCTTTGACCACAAAAATCAGCCAAGGTCGAAAGAAGGTCAGGTTGGGATTGCACAGATTGTTAGGAGTCATTATTTTTTATTTTCGTTCCCTGGCCAAGAGTTTTCACACACAATGCTCGCACATTCTGGGAATGATCATGCACCCATTGTCGCTCATATCCCCAATCTATCTTGATCTGTCTTGCTTGTCGTCACAGGATGTTGGCAATGTTGGTTGGTGAAATTCCTCATTTCCATTCATTTTCCATTCATTTTCCACATATTTCCCACATTCCAGTCACATTCCAGTCACATTCCAAGCATTCCAAGCATTCCAAGGAGCAAGTGCGGCAAGAGCAGCGCGAAAAGCATCTGGAAGAGAAGAAATCGCCCACCGCAGTGGAGTTTTTGGTCTTTGTTCAGTTCTTTGGACTCTTTCACCTGGAAACCTGATGAGTTGGACATACTCGAAGCAACCATTTATATATGGGGATATTTAATGGACACAACATATATATATATGTATATATATATAATGGGGTTGAATTTGGATATCATCAACCATTGGTCGCAAGTCCGTAAAATAATGGGGATGAATCTGGATATCATCAACCATTGGTCGCAATTCGGTAAACACAAAAAATCAACGACTTCATTTTGGTTTTACCATAGTAGGGAACTAGTTTTACCATATGAGGATTTGATAAACCTTGCAAAATTGGAGTTGATTGCTGGAAGTACCACATTATGGTGGGGCCTCATATGTACCCTTTTTGAGGTCAAAAGATCGAAAAGTCATGACAAGTTCATCACCGTGATTTTGTTGATTCGGTAGACCCAATGACAAGCTGTTCCGAAAAACACCTTTTCATTGGTTAATTCACCTGAGATGAAGTATCTACTGGGAAGATGTGTTTGTTTTTGGGGGGGCAGGACCTTAAAAAGGTCATTTCGGCTCCCTTTGTCTTTGTGGCAAGCTTGAGAAGATTTGCTCCAAAAATTTTAGGATGGCCATCTGGGGGATTTTTCAACTTTACCACCGAAGTGCTGGAGTTTGGGTTGGGTGAACAAGCCCAATGTAAGCGCCATGTTTCGTAGTGCTAATGTGTGTTCGAAAAAATTGATTTAATGTATATTATATATATTATATATATATTATATTATATATTATATATTATATATTATATATTATATATGTGATATCCCTCCAAACTGTTGAAATTTTCTAATTCATAGTTGCGCACACGCTTGTTTGCCTATCCTTCTTCTGCCCCGCAAGCGTCGTCTGTCTTCGTTGTATCATGCGGGTTCAGCGTGATGCATCGTGTTGAGCTGCTTCTTTTCCCAGCCTCAGAGTTTCAGACTAGTGACATCCATTGAATTTATATATATATATATATACCCTCTGGTTATTTGAAAATGGTGATTTTCTATAGCTACGTTAAATAAGCAGAGGGTAATTCTAATTAATGATTAATTATATGTATGATATATGACCCAGGCCAGCAACCCCCCAAAAAACACCCCCCCAGGTCATGGTCATGGTCCTGTATGTACGCTGTACGCTGTATGTAGGGGGCTCTATGTAAGATATAGTTTACGCACCCCACCCCCCTGTGGGATGGGTGGGGTGTTTTAGAGGTATCATGTAGATAGTGTATAGGTAGCACATGGCCTGCACGTATGTATAGCATATTAGATCTTGACAGTAGCTAGTATATGGCTACTATAAAGGTACTTTATGGGCAGTAATATGTTGTAAATAGATTGTATGGGCATATATAAGTAGTAGTGAACACTGCACATGGAGGTATCCTGTTAGGTAATGCATAGGTGGCACGAGGCCAGCATGTAAGTAGAGCATATGAGATCTTGAGGGATGGTCGTAGATGGCTAGGCCACCCCCCTGGGGGTGGTTGAGTGGTTGCTGGGGAGGAGGGCGGCGGTTGGCCGGCCGCCGGCCGGGACCATATATATATATATAATATAATATAATATGATATGATATAATATAATATAATATAATATAATATATATATATATATACACATATGTAATGTATGTATGTATATCTGTAGTATATATGTATGTAATTGTATACTGAACATCATTTACAAAATTTCTGGTCCCTTTTCAGAAGCATCTCCCAGCACTTCGCCCTGTTTTCCCAGGCTGTGGAACCTCCTGAAGCCTTGGATCAAAGCTGATAGCGACGCTGCCGTGGAGAGCCTGCAGCGGCTGTGGCAGATGGTGCGAAGCCGCTTAAACTGTGGATGGTTGGGTTCAGGGGAAGATATCATCGGATAGCCAATCTGGTTGGTGGTTTGGAACAGCCGTGGTGGCCCAAACCCTTACCAGAGTAGTGCGGTCGTTCTTTGCCGAACGTTTGGGTGGTACTTGATTCACCCCGGTCTTTGCCATGTCTAGAGGATACCCCATGGAGTTTGGAAACGTCTCTAATGGCCAGTCTATTGACATCGTTTGTACTCTGAAGGTTTTCGATGCAGAACATTCCTCTCACCTGATGGTCTGCAATGATGGTTTCACCTTTTTGTATGAAGGACTGGTAAGTGATGAGTTTCATGCTTTCACTATACTTGGTGGAGTTCTTCGTCAGCAATTTCCCATTGCTTTGGTTTCATCAAACAGAGACACCGTGGTCCTGGGACACCGAAGACCTTCATGGGATGCCTTGTTGTCAACTGTTGATTTATGTTCGGGCTTTGGTGGCCTCGCACAGGGAGCCTTAGCCTCGGGATTCTCTATCCAAGTTGCAGTTGATCAGAACGAAAGAATGTTGAATTTGTACTCCAAGGCTTGTGATGCACATGTCATTTGCGGAGATGTGGGAAGCCGTGAGGTTTTATGTGAAATCTGGCGCCATTCTTCTGGCGCAGCCACAATCACGTCAGGTTTCAGCTGCCAGCCATTTTCGAAACTAGGCGACGAGAAAAGTCAAGGTGATTCAAGAGCCAGTAGTCTTCCGAAAACTCTCAAGACTGCCTATTTTCTACGTGCCCAATTGATTGTGTTAGAGTGCGTTTCACCAGCAGCCAAAGATTGTTTCGTGAATGGAGAATTGGAACACTTTATGAAGTGTACTGGCTTTCATTGCCGCCAGGTTGAACTCAAGTTGGATCACATTTGGCCCTGCAGGCGACAGCGATCATGGTGGGTGTTGTCTTCTCCAGATTTAGGGCCTATCGACCTGCAACAGTGGCCAATGTTTCACGATGTCCAAGAAGTCCAACAGGTCATTCCACGTGTCCGTCTTTGGGCACATGAAGATGAAATGAACCTTGCTTTGGATATGATTGAATTGCAAGCCTTTGGGGTTAATGATGAACGACATTTCAAGTATCTCCTCAATGGAAAAGCCAAAGCGCCATGTGCCTTGCATGCTTGGGGTTCACAGACACGTGCATGCCCCTGCGGATGCAGGAACTCTGGATTCACTCAGGAACGTTTGGAAAGTAAAGGGCTTCATGGATGTTTGATCAGGAGTGCCATTTTCCCTGATGGTTCAACTGTTATTCGCCATTTACACCCCAATGAAGTGATGGGCCTGAATACGTTTGACCCAGTGATCGATTTCGGCACCGATGTCCGTCTCACTCTCTCAGCCGCTGGCCAACTTGCTTGCCCTGCACAAGCGTTGTGGATTCTAGGCTCCATCCTTGAACGGATTGACTCCCTGAGGAACATGCCCTGCTGCTCAAGTGCAAGCTTACAGATCCTGGCTTTTGATGCGTTGTCGCCAAGTTTGGCCTGCTGATTCTGAAGTCATCAAAGATCAAAAACTCATTGAAATGATGTCTTTTTGGGCTGATTTCAAGCACTTGTCCTTGGCTGAACTTCTCTTTCCGATGAAATGGGAAGGACAAATTGAGGGCTCAACCAGTATTGCTGCTGTGTTGGATTTCCTGATCCGTTCAAAGTCCAATTCAGTGGTGTCGATCCCGACTAGTCTTGCCTCGGTCAATGAAGAAGAAACGCCCATTTTTGATTCACCGGTTATTGTTGATGATGACACCACTGCAGGTTGCATTGTTGCTGATTCATGCACAGTGGTCTTCAAAGGATTGTCTGAGCCTCCCTTACGTTTTCAGCCGAAATGTGGGGCTACAATTGAGGAATTTTCCAAAGCACAGTCCAAACTTGCGGGACCTTTTGACATCGTCAGTATCACCATGAATGGAAGAGCCCTTGACCATGGACATGTCATGGAAGTAGGTCAGTTGATCGTCATGGAGGTTGTTTCTGATTCAACTCTCCCCAAAACCAACGATCTGGATGCGATTGTCTCACCTACTGTTGCTTGGACTCAACCAGCTATTGAATGCGAAGACATTACCTCACCCCCTAGAAAGGTTTCCAAATTCGATGTGGGTGAATGTGTTATCCCCGCTATGGTGATGCCTGATGACCGATCATGGTTAGATGCCTCTGCGTTGGTTGGCTTGCAGGGCCAACAATTTTTGAAATTGCAGATGCCATGCATTCAGAACGCACAACAGCTATGGTCCTTGCGACACCAGTACCTGCGTACTCAAGACCGCCTTGCCATCATTGAATCCCAGGAACAGTATTGGGCTGATGATGAAATCAGGTTTCACATGAATGCTGTGGTTCAAGCGTTTCAAGAATCTCAACTCAAGCAGGGACGGACCCAACCAGAAGTCTGTATGATTGATCCTTTAGTTTTTGCGGCCTGGGTCCAGAACAAAGGATTTGACCTTCAGCTTTGGGCCAAGGATCACCCTGAGATTTTTCAAAAGAACATCCCTGTCGTGACTGTTGCCTTGTTGGACCATCATTGGGTCCCCATTTTCATGTCTCCTTTGAGGGGTATTCTTCAAGTCCACACATGGGATGGAATGGGCGCTTCACATGAAGGTTTGGATGCTCTCCTCCAAAGCCTGGCCATTGCATTGGGATTTCAGCAAGCTATGATCCTCCGAGAACATAGATTGTTCTTCACTTCCGAACTCTGTGGGGCTTTGGCCATTGCGTTTCTCAGATTCGTTTTAATGGGCACCCTCTTACCCACAGAATGTACAGAAGCGACGGTCATTCATTGCAGATTGCGAGACATTTATGTCCAGGAACTCCAGCGATGCCAAATCGCACGACGACCATGGGTATGGGGTGCGGGGGATCCACCCAAAACCTGCCCTGTAGGTGGTTCCTCCAGCGACTTGCATTTGGCTGTCAACATCACCAGAGACCAAAGAATTGACCTTATTAATGAAAAAGGTTTTGCCATGGGAGATGATGAGATGCGTTTCCATGTTCTGCAATTGGTGGCCAACCAACCACTTCAAAGTGGTGATCCCGACCGAAAGTTCACGACCATGGAACCATTGATTTTCAATTGTTGGAACTCCATCGGCAGGACTATTGCTGATCAATGGGCCCAGCGTAACCCACAAATACACGCCAATGGGCAAAATGTCATTACTGCTGTTGCCATTGATGATCATTGGTTACCTATTTGGATGGTCCCTGAAGGTGATGCCCTTCAGATTCATACATTCCAAGCTGAGGTTGACTTTGGTCCTGTTGAAGAAATTTTCACTACCATTGCGAGACAACTCGGATTTCAGACTCATGCTGTGCACAGGATCCCGGGAGGTTTGCCTGATCATGTCATGTGCGGTGCTCATGCCCTGTCCTTCTTGGCACACGTGGTTATGCATATGCCTCTGCCTGCTGACCTGATGGAACTCCGTACCTTGCACACCAACATGAGGGCACCTTTTGTGGCCCACCTGTATGCCATTGGATACACCCCCAAACCAGTGGTATGGGGAAACGGTACCCCCAGGGAATCCGGGCAACTCCCTATAATGCCCGAAGAAGGATCCTTTGAGTCCCAGGATCAGGATGAAGCGAGACAACGGCGCTTGCACATGCTCTCTACTCATAGCTATGCCATGGGAGACGATGAGATTGATTTCCATTTGCTTCATTTGCTTGACTGCCATACCCAAGGACCACGTGAGGTCGGACCGATTCGTCATTTCGTCACAGTCTCACCCCGCATCCTGGTTGATTGGCTCAGAGGGGATGACTCTGCATTCCAAGAATGGAAAGCTGAACAATGGTCTTGTGACAAACACTTCATTGCTATTCTCCTGTTGAATCAACATTGGATCCCTGTTTGGATTGCTCCGTTGGATGAAACTGCCACTTGCCATACCCTGGGTGACTTTGCCCAAGACGATGCAGAAGTGGAATTCCTTTTCCGTGAACTCTCTGTCTTCCTGGGTTTTCAAGATGTTGTGATACATCGTGTCCCCCATGGTGTTGACGTTACCCGTCGTTGTGGTGCTATGTCGATTTGCTTCCTTGCTCACATCGTCCTGAGAACTAGGTTGCCATGGGACTCACAGCAGTTGTCTCACCGATGTTGGCGAATGAAAGAAATGTTTGCTGAAGCCATTCAGACATCCGAGCCTTCCATCCCGTCCTTGTGGGGATGGGGTATTCAAGGGGAATTCAGGCTACTCCCTAAATTGCCTGATGATGAGTTCTCACTGCGAATCAAATGTTTGGGGCATGAGTATCTGCTCGACATGGGCATGAGTGATCATGAAGTTCAGTTTCACCTTGTCAAGTTTTTCCATTGCAGTTGTGCCGCTCCATTCCTTGCCTGTGCAGTTGGCAGAACCGAATTACTTCAGGCTTGCCTTATAGAATTTGGTGATTCTGCTGCCAAGATTGGAGGTATTGCTTTCCTGCATGACATGCATTGGCAACCAGTCCTCTTGCTGCGTCACAATGGTGTGATAATGATCCTGACTGAAGATTGTTGGATTCACGATACCCTTCTTACTATGGGATGGAAGGTTTTTCGTTTCACACACAGGGCTGGCGCTTCATGTGGGGTGGTTACACTGACCATCATTGCTGAATGGGTAGGATTGGACCTTGCAAACAATTGTCCCATTTCATTGAGGAGGGAGCTTGCTGCTGAATTTCAGCGATTTTCTCTTCCAGGAGTCGGATGCAGATGGGGATTTGGGCCACAAGGTCAATTGGTCAAGAACTTAGTCCAAGAGCTGTCTAAGCACGGTATTCCACAAGCAGTTGTTGAGGACCGAGCCCTTGCCGCAATCAAAACCCTGGGAAGTGAACAAATCATGACCGCCTTAAACCATAGGCAACCATGGAAGCAATTGAAAATCTTGGGGACGAACTCCAAGTTTCAGTTCGTCCTGCCAAGTGAGTTAGCGCAGGCAGTGGAAAACAACAAGGGAAAACCGATTGGACCCAAAGGAAAAGGGAAAGGTGCACGTGCACTTCCACCTCCAGCCGAGCTTGACCCGACAAAGCTGCAACTGTTGGATGGTACATTCCATTGCAACGATCACATTTTGCCTCAGTTGAACATGAAGCAGATTGGGCCAGTTAGTAGCGGTGTCATACTCATCTCACTCCATGATGCTGAACCATACTTGCGTAGTGGAGCCAAAGTTTCCACTGAACCGCTGGCTCTGTTGGTTTTGCAAAGAACAGGGACTGACATTCAAACTGCATTGCCACATGCCCGTATCACCGTCCCCTGTCGATGCACCGTCAATAACGAGCCTGTCCTTGCTGAGGTAGTCATCGTTCAGGTTGGAACAGGGTTGGTTGAAAAGGCCAATGGACATGCACTTGTCTCAGTTGACACCCCAGATGTCGTCACCTTGAAAGTGATGGTCTACAAAGATGAGCTCAGGAGTGATTGGGCCGAGTTCTGCAATGCTCCCATTCGGAATCTTGTTTCACTCTTGCCAAAGCTGAAGAAATGTTCCACTGATCAGTGCACTTGCCCAGCGTGGCATAATGAAGAATGCCTCCCATTGCGTGACCCGATCCTTGATGTTTGGAGAAGGCAATTCCTGCGTGCCGGCTTTAAACCATGCCCCGCACCAAAGGCAGACATATTTTCAGTGTGCATCAGGATCCCTCAATGCATCCTTGAATCTCTCTTGGCTGCCAGTGGATCTTCAGGTGCTTACTGCGAACCCAGGTCAGCTGATGGAAAGGAAATCCTTTCGGATTATGTCGTCGTTTGGAGCTCCAAGCACACATTGCAAGAGATGCAGCACTTGATGCAAACCAATCCTGCGGTTACAGGTTTGGCACGTTTGGGAGACAGGAGAGGACTCCGTGTGCGCGCCCAACAGGGAAAGGTGATTCACCAACTGCTGAGGCCGGATACTGTTTTCCTGCCAAATGGTCCCAAAAACACATACACCGTAGGGCCCCTGCCTTATGGAGTTGATCGACAAGCTGTTGCCAAGATTCTCCGCCAAGCAGGCTGGGAATCAAGACCCTTGCAACCCAGCACTCCATGCCCAGGACGCGGTGTAATGTGGCTTGTCCAAGCGACCGAAGATCCAGAACATACCATCATTGCCACTACGAGCGGTGATATTGTGATTAACAAACAGCGACAGGAGCCAGCAGTTTTCACCCAGAAGACTACCACAGTTGGCTCAGCTGATACCCTGGCACTTTGTGGTACCACCGCTCAGGCAAAAACCAATGATGCAGATCCGTGGGCTCACCAAGACCCTTGGAGATCCTATCAAAAGACTCAAACACTCCCGGCGGCTACAGGCCCCACTGAAGGAATGCAGCAAATTGAGGAACGAATTCAGTCTGCAGTGTTGGCGAAAATCCAGCAGCCCATGGAAGACGACATCCCCGACCGTGTCCAAGCTCTTGAAGGCCAGGTTCATCAATTGCTTGCCAAACAACAAGGGTTAGAAGTTCAGTTTCATGAGCATAGTAGCCAACACTCCCAGCAAATCAACGCACTACAGAACCAAGTTACAGCCCAAGCCCAACAATTGCATGGGCACTTGGAAAACCAGAACCAGAATATGCAATCGCTCTTCGAGCAACAGATGCAGCAAATCAGAGGACTACTGTCCAAACGTCCACGCGAAGAAGGGATGGAATGACAGTCAGGCCAAAGGTCAAGGTTGTTTTTGCTTGGTCTTTTTGTTTCACTTTGCATTGCCGGGCTTCTCAACCAGACCTGGGGCCTTGTTGTATTTGCTGTGACAGTTTCGGGGGCCGCAGCATTTTGCTGCCGCATCTACACGATGTGTTCACGGTTTGTGGCCATACATTTTTGTTCTCACCATTTTGTTCCGCATCGGGGAAGCAGCCAATCCTGGACCTGCCAATTCAAAGTTCATTTTGGGAGCATTTAACCCTTCTGGGTTAAAAGGGAAGGGCCCTTATATTGTTTCACACCTCGCATTTGGTGACATTTGGGCTGTTTCTGAGACACACTTGTGCAGCCAGTCTCTCCAAGCCTTTCGAGCCAGTATGCATTTTGCCAAAAGCCCATATAGGTATTGCACTGCGGGACATCCAGTTCCAGCACAGGAAAATCGCACCTTTCATGCAGCATGGAGAGGAGTGGCGGTTCTGTCGAAGTTCCCCACACGTTCTGTGCCTCACCAGATGCCCCAAGGTATTTTTGAATCCGCTGGGGCCATGATTTCCACTTCGCTAGTTCATGATGTGTGGATTACCGGGGGTGTCATTTACGGTGAACCTGAGAGTAGTTGTTACCCTCAACAGAAAGCACACAATGAGGAACTTCTCCATCATGTTGCCACCCAAGTCTGCCATTTGCATAGGGGCCCCCGTTTCCTTGCGGGCGATTGGAATTGCGAACAACACGCTTTGCCTGCTTTTGCCATGATGGAAGCCGCAGGATTTCGTGATTTGCAAGATATTGCCAGGGACATGTGGGGTATTCCAGTGCAAAACACCTGTAAGCAGTCCACCAGGAAAGATTTTTGTTATGTGTCGCGAGAGCTCCAACAACTGTTGCTCTCTGTCTCACTTTTGCATGATGTGTTCCCTGACCATGCAGTTTTGACAGGGGAGTTTGTTTCCCCTAAGCAAGTTTTGCCTCGCCAAATTTGGGTGACGTCAGGTGAGTTGCCCTGGCCGAAGCAGTGGTATGTGAATCCCGGTTTTTGGGCTTCGCTTCAAGGTACCCCTGACTACAAGTATCATCAACTTTGGCAGCACATTGAAAACCAGGCGTGTGACGCCTTGCCGTTTCCAGTCGAGCACCGAGCCAAAGGTAGAGCTGCAGTGCAGACCGTCGTCCAAACCAAAGACGGTATGATGCCCCCACCCAAGAAAGGTCGAAAAGGTGACATCCAACCACAGTTTGTTTGTGCCTCATTCAGACACTCACAATGGCTCCGCCAGTTGAGAAGGTTACAAGCCTACGTAAGACACGTGGCCGCTCACGAGCCTTTCACTAGGTATGCTTGTCAGCTCTGGGGGTCCATTGTTAGAGCCACTGGTTTCACTCCCTCATTCTCTGTGTGGTGGCGAGATTGTGGTTTTAAGAGTGCTGGGGCAATCGAGGTCTTCCCAATGACCCCACCGTGCCAGAACATTGCTCAGGGCATCTTCGATTCCTTTGCCATTGCCTTTCGTTCTTTTGAGAATGAGTTACATAAGGCCTCTAGACAACATGCAAAATTGCGCCGTGAATCCAATCCCAATGTGATTTTCCAAGACTTGAAAGATCACCAGGCCCGTGATGTGAATGTGTTGATTAAGCCCACCGTTGTCTCAGTGGCTGCAGTTGACATCAGTAACCATGAGGTCATACTTTCTCAGGCGGTGTCCTTTGATACTGAGAAGCCGATCTTTTGTAATGGGACTTCACTGCAAGTGATTCATGCTGAGGCCGATGCCCTCTGGGTTGATAACATTGTTGATGTGCCTGTGGGTGCCACAATTTCTCAACTGAAATGCAAAGGCACGGACGAAGAATTGTTTCACCTTTTTCTGGATGCTTGGAAGGTTATGTGGGAACGGCATGCAGATGTTCCCCAGGCTCGGTGGAATGAAATCTTGCAATTTGCACGTGACAAGTTGCAACACCATGATCTCACATGGCCCAACATTGATAGAGATGCCCTCCGATGTAGCATTGATCACAAACATTCCCGCACTACCGGGGGCCTTGATGGAGTTAGCTTGCAAGATTTGAAAGCCATGCCCCCCGAGGCCCTGGACAATTTTGTGGATCTGTTTCACGTGGCTGAAAATGAGGGTATTTGGCCTTCCCAGGTTGTTGCAGGCCGAGTGTCATGCCTTGCGAAGGTGGCGGAGCCGCAGGATGCCCTTGATTTTAGGCCCATCACTGTCTTTGGTTTGTTGTATCGGTGTTGGGGCACATACCATGCAAGGCAAGCCATTCGCCTCTTGGATGGAAACCTTCCCCTAGGGTTGTATGGCAGTCGGCCTAACTGCTATTCCGGTCAATTGTGGTCTCACTTGTTGTGGAGTATTGAATTAGCCTATCAATCTCAAACCCAATTGTCTGGCATCATGGCAGATGTGCAGAAAGCCTTCAATTTTCTGCCACGCATGGTTGTGATGGAATGCTGCGCCCTCCTGGGCCTTCCTTTCCACGTGCTCCGAGGTTGGGCTGGCGCACTTAGCGCCATGAGCCGGAGATTTCAAGTCAATGGTAGTCTTAGTCCTCCCGCCATGAGTAACTGTGGATTGCCTGAAGGGTGTGCAATGTCTTGCGTTGGTATGATGGTTGTCGACATTGTTTTTCACGAATGGATGGTTCATTACTTTCCTTTGTGTCAACCCTTGTCGTATGTGGATGATTGGCAGGTCTTGGTTGCTGACCCAGGGATGTTGAACCCTGTTTTCCAATGCCTTGAAAAATTCACCCAGGCCCTGGATCTCCAGTTAGACCAAAGGAAAACCCATGTTTGGTCCATGAGTGCAGAAGGTCGCCACATGATTCGCTCTCAGGGATTTGTCACCGTGGCCTTTACCAAAAGCCTGGGAGCTCACATCCAGGTTACCAAGCAACACACTAATAAGTTTCTCATGGACCGCATAAGGAGCTCTCACCACCTGTGGGGCAAATTGAAAATTTCCGCCAGCCCGTATGCCCAGAAAATCCGTGCGCTAAAGTGCGCTGCGTGGCCTAGATGTCTGCACGCTGTGGCAGCTACCACCGTGAGTAATGCAACATTTACTGCCTTAAGAGCGGGAGCAATGAAAGGCATTCGCGCTGAAGCAGCAGGTTCCAACTCACTGGTTCATTTAGGTATGATCGAACATCCCAGTGTTGATCCCTGCTGTTGGTCGATCTTGCAGACTTTCAGATTGGTTAGAGATTGCGGAGCCCAAGCCCGGGTAGAAGAAGTGTTGCACTTGCTGGTTGAAGGTTGTGATACCCTTCCTGCCAATAGCATCACCAGTACTCTTCTACATCGCATTCAAACCTTAGGTTGGCATGTTGATAGCCGAGGTGAATTGCATGACATGTTTGGGTCGTTTTCGCTTTTTCAGATTTCCAATGCGGAGTTGCAATATCGTGTGGAATGCCAATGGCCACATGTCGTGCAAGCTGCTGTTGACCATAGGAAATGCTTTCAAGGGTTGGATGAGTCAGATCCGGTTGATACCAGAAGGTGGATTTCTTCTCTCAATGCTTCTGACCATGCCCTTTTCTGCAAAATCTTGAATGGGACGCACATAACACAAGATGGTAAACACTACTGCCAGGAAGCGGACAATGATGAGTGTCCCTATTGTTTGTGCAGTGACAGTAGGTTTCACCGTTTTTGGCAGTGTGAATACTTTGCACATTTGCGCCGCGACTTGCCTGAGGACATCCACGCCATGGTGGTTGACTTGCCTGATTCCTTAACCTGTTCAGGATGGTCCTTGGCGCCCACTACAGGGATTGAGTGGAACTGTTATTTTGCTCAGCTCCAGTGCCCGGACCTTCCACAGCATTGTTTCAATGGCACGGTTGATGTGTTCACTGATGGAAGTTGTCATGATCAACACTGTGCTAACAAGCGTTTTGCAGGTTGGGCTGTGGTGTATGCATCTTTGGAAGCAATACATGATTTCTCAGGTAGTCGCATCCTTGATTCAGGTGTCTTGCCAGGACTGCTCCAAAGCTCAGTTCGTGCAGAAATCTTTGCAGTCTGGAGGGCTTTACAAATAACAATGGATCACCCAGGACATGTTCGCCTTTGGTCAGATTGTGACTTTGTGGTCAGGAAAGTGCGGAGGCTACTGCAAGGGATGGTGGTCAAACCTAACTCGTCTCACTCTGACTTGTGGTTGGAAATCGCTAGTTGCATTGAGGCTAGGGCTGGCCTTACAAGTATCACCCATGTTGCCGCACATCAATCAGAACATTCCACTGACGATGTGTTGTTTGAATGGTGTTACCGCCACAATGCTTTGGTCGATAAACAAGCTGTTCAGGCTAACATGTCCAGGGACCAGAACTTTTGGAACCTGTACTCACGCCATGTTAGGGCGCTTGCACATACCACCAGAGTTAGCAGAGCGGTGCAACAAGTTCAACTTAGTATCAGTCAAGCTGTGGTGTATAATGGCCTTCCTGAACAAATTGATGTTGCCCCGGAAGAATACAATGTGCCCTTGCCGGATCGCCCATGGACTCCTTTACCTGTTTTGAAGATCCCATCGGGCGCCACCAGATGGTATGGAGACTCAATGGTTCGTTTGATTCTCAGCTGGTACTGGCAGACACTCCATGCTAGCAGTGATGATTTGGTTTGGGTATCGCATTTTCAGCTCTACATTGATTTCATGTGTTCCACGGGCCATCCAGGACCTGTCCACCAGTCCAAATGGCTCGACGGGCAACAGGTTTCACATGTCCAGCTGAGGGGTTTTTCCTTTCGCCAAAGAACTCGCTGGTTTGCGAAGGTTTGGAAACAATGTCTCAAACACCTTTGCTGTGAGGCTGACTATGCTTACTGCAAACCCCAGTCTCACTTAATTTTGATGTTTACAGGGTGCGCAGCCTTACCATGGCCGCCTGACAGACTACGACTGGTTGATGACTGGATGATGAGGTGCTCTGGAAATGCATTCCGCAGGCAAACGAAGGCAATCGATTCTCTGCCCTATGCCGACCACCAGACTGGATTCCCTTTCATCTATGTTTCATCCATAGGTACCTGAATGCCCAAGACGGGCAGCAGTCGAATCTACTGCTGGCCGCATCAGAAAATGGAAAATGGTGGTTTGGAACATTTTTATTTTTCCATATATTGGGAAGAATCATCCCAACTGACTATCATATTTTTCAGAGGGGTGGCTCAACCACCAACCAGAAATAGTTCACACGGTTCACACCGATGTTTGGATTTGTCCAGAAACGATGGCTATTTTGCTGGGGAAAATGGACGATCAACGATATTTGGTTTGGCTATCCTATTTCCAGATGAAGCCAGATGGCTTGGGGGGTTGGGATCGATGTGGTTTGATCCAAGAGCTTGCCACACAAGAAATGGGTTGTGAGAGCCCTTAAGGCACTCGCACTCGAAGATAGCCCGGGTTCAAGACCGGTCTTCTAATATTCCTCCTTGGTCACTCCTACCCACATCTATACTTTTGATGGGTTTAGCTCCAGAAAAGTTACTGTAGTGAAAGGATATGATAGCGATGATTTTTATCTGGGATAGAGGACATCTCCAGTTTCTTCATGGGAATCTCTCAGCCACGGAAAACACAGCGACGTCCAAGGTCACAGCCTTTATCGTCCGCGCGAGGATCAGAAAGGCCTGCAGAGTAAGACGCTGGGCGCCTGCTGTGGCGTTCTGTTGAACCTTGGATGTACTGGGTGGCCTAGGAAAAGTGGAGATCTTGGTGGATTTGAAGCATCCATGTTTTCTGGAATTTCGATGACTTAATGAATTTAACCAACCAAACATTGGGATTTATTAGAAGCATCAAAGATGGGCTTCAAGACCTATACAAAACAAGTATTGTCCAAGACTCAAAGGATATTGCTTGCTAAGTAAACAGCAAACAGCAAACAGATACTAATGTTAAGCTGGAGTTTTGCAAAACTCCAGTTTAGTTTTTTTCTTCTTGCTGGCCATCCCAATGTTGCCTGGAGCAGGATGGGAGGGAAGCAGCTAGAACAGCCTGCTTCGGGTGCAGGAATTCGATTCCTCTCCCAGCTTGGTTTCCCAGGAATGCGATGAAGCGAAAGTTGGAAAACCTGATAAAACATGGTCAACCAATGGTTTCCTATTCCCTTAACTTACCCCAATCCATTGAGCAGTGCAACATCGCCATGACGAAACAGAGGAAGCGACTGGAGACTTCTGAGCAAAGTACGGCGGAGTGGGCTTGCTTGGAGGAGGGGGCGAGTGGATTGGCTGAAGCTCGAAATGGTTGGCCTTATTGGCCCTATTGGCCCCTCAAAACGGAAGGTTTAGTTTGGTTTTCGTACTAGGCAATCTAGACACGACCAGAAGTTTGTAGGTCCGATGGTACCACATTGTTGACTCATCACCAGGCTGATTTTCTCAGGCATCTCTCCAGGAGATTGTTGAGCATGTTGCCGCTGCTGTTGTGTCCGTACCATCTTTTTTTTAAAGTTGTGTCCTCCATGGTTGTTGGCTACATCCCTCCTCCTGTTCTTCTTCTTCTTCTTGTTGTTGTTGTTCTTCTTCTTCTTCTTGTCTTGTTATTCTTGTTGTTCTTGTTGTTGCTGCTGCTGGCTACAACTACCTTCTGAGATAATCAGACACACACACACACAAAGTCTTCCCCACAATGTGATTCCGTTAAAGAATCCATCTAGGGGAATTCTTGCAGTGTCTTTTTCCGTGACCCGTATAAGTCTGGGCAAACCATATTGAGCCGACAACTCACCATACATGATGGTAGGCAAGTTGAAGGATCCCAAACGTGGTATTTTCAGCTTGAGAATTCGCCTTCCTCCAACCAACATTGACTCTGCCAAAGGGTGCATTTCTATTTCAGTAGAGGGGATGGTCATTCCCAATTTTAACCGAACACCGCACATTTGAGCATTTATAAGATTGGTTTCTTCATCAGATGGGCATGTTCATCATTTATTACATTCACATGACCCTTCTACATCCTCATATTTTTCACCATGAATGATCATTCTTCGCCAGTATTAAATTATTTTCATGAAATTGAAACCATCAAGATTGAAACCATCATATTCCATAAATTATTAATGATATTCATATTCAATTGCTAGTCAAAATCCAAGCAATGAACATTCGTATAGAAACATTCGCATTTTTCCAACCAGCCCACCATTTCGCATCAGCCACGGATTTTTAGAGGAGATGCTGCAGCTAGACGTGGCGCCCTTCGAGTCCAGGCCGCTGATTATGGGCTGCCAGGCTGCCCCCATTTATGGAAACCTCCAAATGTATATGTATATCTACATATTTAGATATACAGTATGATATACATATCTATTTGAAATATAGATATGTTTATCAATCTTATATATATATAGCGGATGGTGGGAGAACATATAGTGATGTGAAATAATTCTATCAGTGGTGGGTTCTTATTGAACACATACGGCTGAAACACAAAGATGTGACGATTTTACATGGAACAGCTGGCTCCGGATGACTTGGTACCTACAGGATTGCTGGGGGTTTCCCGCATGAGTTGTTTTGCTTAATCTGCCTGGATATTTGATGACATTAGTTTTAATGATGCAAAGATCTGCCAAGAACCCATTTCTTCTCAATGAACCTATCATTTTTTTCGGTCCTTGGTCTCTTGGAAAGGTACGCATTTCCATGATTTCATGTACTTCTTCAATTGACAGGATCAGGAAAATACGTTTTCTGTTTTCTCTTGAAACCGCTACCAATAACATCCAAGGGTATAGAGCCGTGTGCCAATACTTGGAACTTGGATCTACAACCCAGTCAGCATCTGGTATGTGGGGAGATTAATACATATTACATGTACATTATGCTTCAAAACTCGATGGATATGAAGCATCATGGGTCCATTGTAAAGCATAAGTTGATTTTACATGAAAGTTACTGGGTTACAGGTTATGAAACATCTGGGTATGGGTCAAAACCATTCACAATCGCCACTTGAAGTGCATGGTTTTGACCCATGGTACCGCAGTGACTTGAGCGATACTTATCAAATCCCCGTTTCTTGTTGGTCAAATCGATCTTTTTGTTCATGAAATCGCCATTTTAAGTTGCTTAAATCCACATTTTGCTTCGTTGAATCAGCATTCTTCCAAATTTTTCGTGGTCAACAAATCCAATCTCCCCAGAATTCTCCATGTTTCATGATTTTTCCTGGCGAAATTCGTGGGTTTTTGCCAGGCTCCAGCGTTTCTGGTCGCTGCTGCTAGGGCCCCACGGTGCCAGTACTGGAGCTGCGCGGCTGGGGGCCAAGTTGTTGTGGACCTACGCGCAGCTGGCAGTGCCATGGCAGCACCATCTGGCTGGATGCCCGGGCCGCCCGGAAGGGAAAAGATTGGTTTAATGGGATTTAATGGTGATTTAATGGAATTGAAGGGGGTTTAGTGGTGATTTACTTGGATTTGATGGTGATTTAATGGAATTGAAGGGGGTTTAGTGGTGATTTAATGGGCTTTAATGGTGATTTAATGGAATTGAAGGTGGTTTAGTTGTGATTTAATGGGATTTTTTGGTGCTTTAATGGAATTGAAGGGGGTTTTGTGGTGATTTACTTGGATTTAATGGTGATTTAATGGAATTGAAGGGGGTTTAGTGGTGATTTACTTGGATTTGATGGTGATTTAATGGAATTGAAGGGGGTTTAGTGGTGATTTAATGGGCTTTAATGGTGATTTAATGGAATTGAAGGTGGTTTAGTTGTGATTTAATGGGATTTTTTGGTGCTTTAATGGAATTGAAGGGGGTTTTGTGGTGATTTACTTGGATTTAATGGTGATTTAATGGAATTGAAGGGGGTTTAGTGGTGATTTACTTGGATTTATGGTGATTTAATGGAATTGAAGGGGGTTTAGTGGTGATTTAATGGGCTTTAATGATGATTTAATGGAATTGAAGGGTGTTTAGTGGTGATTTAATGGGATTTAATGGTGCTTTAATGGAGTTGAAGGGGGTTTAGTGGTGATTTAATGGGAATTAATGGGGAGTAAAGTCCGATTCCGCAACTTCTCCGGATTGCGCAACTAGGATTGCCCAACTCTTTGATCAACCTTCGCTCAGCTCCCAGGATTGTGCAACTCTGCTTGTGCAACTATGCTTGCCGGATTGCGCAACTCTGCTTCCGCAATTGCGCAACTCTGCTTGCCGGATTGCGCAACTCTGCAACTACACTTCCTCCAAACAATTCCAGCCCCCATAGAACTTGAAAATGACACGTGCCGTCCACAAGAGCAAGACGTTATCAAAATTCCCACCCCCATGGAACTTCAAACCGACTTGGAGTGCCCAGGTAAAGACGATACCAAAGCTCCCACCGCACGGGAACTTCAAACTGACTTGGAGTCTCCACAAGGTTAAGGTGATATCAAAATTCCCACCCCCATGGAGCTTCAAACTGACTTGGAGTATCCACCAGGTTAAGATGATATCAAAAGTCCCACCCCCATGGAACTTCAAACTGACTTGGAGTGTCCACAAGGTTAAGATGATATCAAAATTCCCACCCCCATGGAGCTTCAAACTGACTTGGAGTATCCACCAGGTTAAGATGATATCAAAATTCCCACCCCCATGGAACTTCAAACTGACTTGGAGTGTCCACAAGGTTAAGATGATATCAAAATTCCCACCCCCATGGAACTTCAAACTGACTTGGAGTGTCCACAAGGTTAAGATGATATCAAAATTCCCACCCCCATGGAACTTCAAACTGACTTGGAGTGTCTACAAAGTTAAGATGATATCAAAATTCCCACCCCCATGGAACTTCAAACTGACTTGGAGTGTCCACAAGGTTAAGATGATATCAAAATTCCCACCCCCATGGAACTTCAAACTGACTTGGAGTGTTCACAAGGTGATAGGCGTCGGATTGTGAAACTTGTACGTCGCATTCTGAGACTTGAGGCTTTGCTTATGAAACTTGGAGTTTCGGATTTTCATTGGTTGTTTACTGGAGGGTAAAATCCATGTAAATCCCAACTTTTGCAGCTAAAACGCCGATCCAAATTGTGTCGGACTGAGCCGAGGATCTCTCCTCATGCCTGGAGGCTTTGAATGATGCGACCAGTTCGCAACAAGGAGGACTAGACGTCCGACAGCAGACGTGCAATGATCCATTGGTAACATGGCTGGAAAATGACCACAAAAACCTGGGAAAACCCCCCTTGTTACCAGAGTGTCTTCCTTGGAGATAGTTCACAACCCTGCGCCTTTTGGGACAGTCACTTGAATGAAAAACCGCACAGCTGGTGATGTTTGCTCTCCTTTCAACGCAAATGGGTATGGCAATCACCTTCGACGAACAAAATGCTTAGAATCCGTCACTTTCAGCACATATACTGTAACTCCATTACCATCTCCAATCTTCATGGGTGTACACTCCGGTAAATTAATATAGGTATGGAAAACCAATCATGAATGTGAATCAGTTTGCTAGGGTCTCCGCACGGTTGTTTTCGCTATCATTTTGTTCATTTTGTGTTGGTTTCACCATTTATGTTTGTAACTTTCATTTTTTCCGGGTCAACTCCATTATTTTGCACGGTATATATATATAATGTGGTGTATGTATATATACATATTATATACATATGGTATGCGTACGTACATACATACATACATACATACATACATACATACATACATACATACATACATACATACATACATACATACATATGTATATATACACATGGTATATATATATACACATGGTCTATATATACATACGGTATATATATATACATATGGTATATATATATATACATATGGTATATGTATATACATATGGTACATATACATATGGTACATATATATATATATCTATATACATAAACAAATCCACTGCTGGCGAACTCTTGATTTCTTCGGAGGAGCCGGAAGCCCTTTGCTTGCAGCGCCCGAGTTCGTGCAAGGTCTTGAAGATGCCGCGAGACAGCTGACAGCCTTGGGGCAGATCACAGGCAAGACCTGTGGTTTAAAATCCATGACCCATATTTCATCCTATATACCGTTCGGCAATCAAAGATGGCACCGGAAAATCCACAAATGGAAGTTTTTATCAGAAAATCATCCATAATGGAGGACTTTCCATTGCCAGGTTTGATTGCTGGAGGGTATAAGTGGGGATATTTCATAACTGGGGCTTTTTGAGGTAAGTGGGGCCCGCACCCCCCAAAGTCCCCGTAAACTGATGTAGATGAGGAAAACACACAGCATTTGTGGACGATTTTCCTGGGGTTTCCCCATGGGTTTTTGACACCTAGGTCAACGTTTACCCTGGGCCTTGGCTATGGCCTTGGCCCCAAAAATGGGGTACCTGCCTCGGCCCCATTTTGTGGCATCCAATGGCGAAACTGATGATTTTGCACCATGAAGTCTAATGGCACCCTAATTTTTGGACAACACCAGGTAGAACTTGGGATATGCCATATGTAAAATGGGATGTTGCAGAAATTGGGGTATCCCGTTTCAACATGACGGTTTCTCCTGAAAAAACATGACACATAGTTTGGAACCCATTTTAGGGATCCTCCAGATCATCTCCAGATGGCAGGGTTCAAAAATTGACGTCTCCGCAGATGGATTGGCTATCTCTAGTCACTAGTCTTCATGAAATCCATGGAAAATTGGGTGCCCAATTTTTCGATATCTTCGTGTTCAGTTTCTGATTTTGTGGATTTCATGGCTCGTTAGTTGGTGTACCATGGCATGATTGGGTTCCAACAAGTCAGACCCTAAGTTGGATGATCGATCATTGGGTGTGATTTCTCAAATGAACCTAGAGCTTTGGCTTATTCCCTTGATAGCCTCTGATAATTTTTCAACATAGCTATGGAAGCCATCGCGTTTTTCTTGATTTCGACCGCTCAAAAAATGCTCCCAGGCACCTGGAAAATGCTGTTGAAGTCCTTGAAGCTGCAGCTTGAGGTGGGGATGGTGATGAGAGCCGGCTCATTTGTCACAATGCTGTTCAAATTCAAAATATTGATATCATTATCGCAAAATTCAGGAACATTTTGTATAATTTTGTATATATATATATATCTACATACACACATACATTGTGTATATCGATACTGACAATAAATGATAAGAAGAAACATTGGAACAACGAAAGCAACAATAGTAGCAGTGATAATGGTACCTCTCCTCCTACGTACTACTGCTACTGCTACTACTGCTGCTGCTGCTGCTGCTGCTGTTACTGCTCCAGCTGCTGCTCCTGCTATTGCTGCTTCGACTGCTACTGCTACTAACAGTAACAACAAAAATCAATAATGCTAATAATGATCATGAAGTTCATGATTTTAATGAACATAACATATATGAAAATGATAACAACAATAGTAATGCTATGTACACACCAGGGCCCTCAGGGCCCTCCGGGCCCTCCGAGCTCGGCGGCGTTGCTGCAACCTGTCCTGGCGGGCTTGGCGCCCAACGAACTGTGCCAGGGCTGGTGGTGAAACCGATGTGGAAAACTGGGGGATTTATCCATGCCAGGGCTGATTTCATGGGGATATTCATGGGGAGATTGTACATATGATTTACGTTGAACTGGTTACTGTATGTGGGTGGTTTAAACGTTAGGCACGAAAACCGTGAGGTATTTATTAGAATAATGCGGAATGGGAGACATAATTCATAGCCAACTATGTACAATTTGGGTGTCTGAAAATGGGATATACCCCTCCAACGTGGCATTTTTAATGAGGGCCATGCTGCTGAAGCAATAGGCTTAGGGGGTACCCGATTCTCAGACACACCCATAAAATCTGGGGGTTGAACCAACACAAATTGGCAGCTTGACTCTCCAGAACCGTTGGAGGAGGGACGGTGGGAGGGTTCGAACCAGGAAAACCAATGATTCGTGCCTTTAAGTGGACTGTTTCGCCACTTTGGTATGGTTTTACTCCGGTTCACTTTTCTGCTGGCATCGCAAAGATGTTGCCAACATAGGCGGGATGATTCATGGTGACGTGTAAAACTACATGGGTGATCCATAACAAAAAGGTCCAGCAAAGGAGCAGAGAAACCAAAATTGTGAAGGTGCCCCTCAACAATGACATACCAGTACCCACATTTGGCTGCCTCGTATGGATTGCCAAATGCACGAAATTTAAACACCCATTTTTGTGTATCCAAGTATCCCTTACTACCTTCGCTTTGAGCCATTCCCATATTTCCCCATTTTTGCTGGCTTTAAACCCACCTTTTTGTTGGTCAAAACCAATGGTTGCGACCGACTCCAAGGTGCTTGCAGCCCATGCGGGACCTGTTCCATGAGACCTATGACCTACTGATGGGTCCCGCGTCTGACAGGGGGATCTGCAACACCGCAACGGTTGTTATCCATCTGATCCTGCCGGGGGCTGCAGGTATTCAACCTTGGCCTGCGAGCATGGATGGTTTGCTACTTGCATTGCACCTCGGAAAGGTGAGAAATGTGAACACTGGGGAATCTTTCACCGGTGAAAGGTGAGAATTTCCTCCACAAAAGTGACGATATGTATGACACAACATGCGAGAATATATATTTTTTTCAGCATATTCTAGCATAGTCATTCTTGAATATTTTGGACGCGACTGACAGAAATGCTTGGTAGATATGAGCAATCTAAACCGCCAGAGACAAGATTCCAGCCAAAACGAATCACCATGGCACCAAAATCTCAAACAAAATCAATGACTTTGATGATTCCATCCGGCAAAAATCACAAAGAAAGATGCCAAAAACGAGACACCTAGAACTCAACCATCTGGTAATTTGCAGTAGCTATGGAAAAATCACTCTTCTTAAATCCGGTTCAGAAATGGCCAAGGCTCCATTTTGAGCTGGTTGAGAACTACCACTTGATGGCTTTTACTCAAATTCTCACAGTATCCAGTCATTTTCCATGCCCCAGGTGTACCTTGGGTCGCAAGTTGACATCCTGGGAGCTGCCCAGCCTGCTGTCGGCAGCCTCGAGCACCTGCGAAAGGAGTCGCGAGGTGGGGCCTTTGGCTGAAGAAAACGGGTGAAAAGATGGGAAAACGGGGATATCTCTAGGATGCTATGGATGATTATGTATGGAAAATTATACATATACGCACATATATTTCCTCTAAAAATATTTGATGAGATGTCTTCAGATGATGAACAAAGTGGAAATGGACAGTTTCTTTTTTGTCATTTGGATGCATGTCATGTCAAGGACCCACGAAAACATGATGGAAGATGACGAGCCACTAGAGTCACGACCATGACAGCGATTATTGATTATGCGACAACCATGACATGAAGTGTGATATGGTAGTGCTGGTAAATGGGTCAATACCACAGTCAGCTATGATTGTGTCGGCATATCCAGGGATGAGCTATGGATTCTTCTTTTTCTCTTCTTCTTCTTCTTCCTCCACTACATCATCCTTGTGTTCTTCTCCTTCTTTTGCTTCTTCACATCATAACTTATTATGATTCCAGAACAAATATTTCCAGATACAACTAATACATACTAATACTCTATATATATATATTATATTATCTATATAATATATGATATATTTTATATATACTGGAGGTTATTTTCCACATATTGGAAATTCCATATTCTCTACACATCCAATTTCTGTTCCTGGCAATGACTTCTGTTCCTGGCAGGGCTTGGAGAGGTTGGTGCGCAGCTCCCACCCCGAGGCGAGGCGCAGCTGGATTTTCCAGGAAAGCCATCATGATTTCTATGGGAAAACTCGGGAAACTCCTATGGTGATGGAGATTTTATGGTGATGTTTACCATAGTTTTCATGGGAAAAATCACTATTTCTATGGTGATTTTATGGTGATGTTTACCAAGTTTTATGGTCGTGTGTACCAGAGGCTATGATTTTTGTTACTGTACTGGTTTCCAGTTTTTAGATTTTCCCAAGAAAAAAGAAATCCATTGAGGGATACCCCACATCCAAGATCATCCAAGTCATGGATGACCATGACTATAGTGACAGTATTGAAACAACCATGGTGATTGGTGGCTGGTGGTGTCCCATTTTCGGACACCTCCATTTGCATCTATTGATTGGTTGAAAGCGGTGATTCATATAGTTTTTTTGTATACAGACAAAATCTGTCACAGTGAGGAGTGAACCAGGAAACATTTGAGCCATTAAAAATACCCTGGTTAATTGATTGCTATAGGGGATTATACTACCTGGTTTACTGGGGATTATGATAACCCATAGTAGGGAAACCTATCAACCAACTAGTATAATGAGATGGGAAAACGGGGTATTTTTAATGGCTCATTTGGGAATGGCTCAACTGCTCAACATGAAAAGAACGAGACATGGATCGACCAACATTACCTACGATCCGCGTGGAGTTTTTCATTTTGCTCATCCTACAAGGATCCAAGGCAAAGTAAATTGTTTATGTAGATATAACGAACTAGATAACTATAGCTAATGGGGTTTATCAACTTATAACTGGGGGCACCATCCTGTATGTAAACTACCCTCTGGTTATTTGACATAGCCATGGTATAGATGGCCCATAGAAATAGATGATTTTCCCAGCTAGAGACCTCCATTTATGAGGGATTTTCCAGCCAGCTATGTTAGTCATAACCAGATGGTAACCATCATTAACCACCATTAGGGGGTGTTTTAACCATCATTAACCATCATTAACTATCATTAACCATCATTAACCATCAGTAAGTTGTTTCAGGACCCTGTTTCTTGATGCGAAGAAGTCCGCGCGCGAAAAGCGCAACGCGAAAATCCCTGGAGGCTGCGATGCATTGCCTTCGGGCACAGCGGGATGCCTTGGAAAAGGTGGAAGCACAGGAGGTGGGAACCGAAACCGCCTGGAAAAGGTAGTGCCTACTTTGCAAAGCGTTTTTTTTGTCGGCTTAGCTTGGGTTTTTTCAAAAACAAGGCTTAAGGTGGATACTGATGTGGTTGGAATCTTGGAATCGTGGGACCGTGGAGAAGACTTTTGGATATTTTTGGGATGAACATGGGACTACAAAGTGGGGCCCCCGTTCGATAGCTAAGTTGGTGCAAATAACTCCAATAACTATGGTTTATGGTACGCAAATAACTATAGTTACTGGGGTTTATCAACCAGTTTATAACTGGGGGGCCCCACATTGTAGGGACTGCTGTCAATGTACCCCGGGGGGGTTCCAAGGGATCTCCCTGCCGCGCAAGCGCCAGGTAGTAACCGCTGCCATCCAGCAGGCCCACGGATTCCAGGAGCATGACAAGGGTTGCAGCAGATGTGAGCCGAAACCAAGGGCAAGGTTTACCCCTTTTTAATGGGATATTACAGTATGTGTGTGTATATATATATATGTGTAATACACACACATATATATATATATATACATACATACAAATAGTGGGATTTAAATGGGATCTAAAATCAACGCTCTGATAATGCGATGGTTTACCCTCCAATCAAACGTGGCTAGCTGGACAATCCCTCATTGAGTTCAGTGAATTTTCCCAGCGAACTAAACCTACATTTAGTTCGGGGATTGCCCACGGCCTATTGCCCACTGTTTGATTACCGAAGGGTACAGGTCCAGATTGGAAGCGGGGATCAACTTTGCCCAACCGATCCAGTTGCCGGACCAACCTGATATTTGACAATAGTAATAGTAGCAGCAATGACGAGGACAATAATGATAATTGATAATGATGAAAGATTGAATAATGATCATTATCCTCTGGTAATTTAACATAGCTATTGAAAATGGCCATTTACGGTGGATTTTCCCATTAAAAATGGTGATTTTCCATAGTTATGTTAGTTTACCAGAGGGTACTATTATCATTACTATTATTTAACATCATCCCATTTTTTGTGGGTGAATTTTCCGCATTTTCGCTGTAAGGTCGAACGCGACTTCTCGGGGTCTGGGAGCAGCATAGGCTCCATGGGCTCTTCGTCGCGGCGCGTGGCGATGCTCACAGCACTGGCAGGTGGGGAATGTGGGGAAAACAATGTCATTTTGACCAGCCATGACTGGGAATGGTAAGTTGATACCATCTATAATTTTACTGGGAAATGGTAAGTTGATACCACGAAAACATTTTTTATGGTGATTTTCCTGATTTTGCGTTTATGACATTGCGAAAAAACCACATGATCTGGGAGAATACAGTACTAAGAATGCTAATGACATGTCTGATCATTTTGTGACCAGTTTTCTGTTGTTTTTTTTAGATTTCTTTTCAGACGTTCCAAATTCCAAAACCCCACAGAATCTTCACATCTCAGAACTGGGACTAGATTCCTAGATTCACCCGGGCGCCTTTTTCGAGATTCCTTGGATCCAAACTTAGGCGCCGCACCCGGGCGCAAGCGGAAGGGCTCGGTGTCCGAGCTGGAGCGGCTTTGCGCCTTGCTGCTGCCTGAGGCCATGGGGAAAGTGGGAAAAATCTATGGGAAACCCATCCATGGAACCTTCACGGTTTCTTTTCCATAACTTTGGCGTTTTCTTTTTGGGTTGCGATTTTGGAGATTTGGGGCAAAGTTGGGGACTTCACACTAGATTGGAATTCAAAGAAAGAAGAATATGGACATTTCAGCAGAAATCATGTGGGAATTGAAGCAACAAAATTGGCATGACATATATACCTCAAACCATCAACCATGGGGATGTATCACAATTTAAGACTAATGAACCGACTGATTCTTGGCAATGTTTGGCGATTGTGAATGGCAATGTTACCTTTGATCTAGCGCCATATTTGGTCCCCTTTTGCCAATTTTGCAGCTTAGATATGATAGTTTAGCCTTTCTGGGGCCATGTGTATATGATACACCATGCTACAATCAGTGGCAACAGACAACTGAACCCAATCATGGAGATAGTCGATCAAGCTGTCACCCGCCAAGGATGGTGGTCAGGATCTGGCTCTGTTACTTGGCCTTTGGGTCGTCCCAGGAATTGCTAATGGTCAGCCTGACTGAATTCCATTGAAATATGACTGGATGTATCCTCTGCTAATTGGCACGACTGTGGACAAATTTGCAAAATTTGTTGGGTAAATAGACAACGGACCATTTTCTATAGCTATGTCAAGTTCGCAGATGGTATCTTAAAATTACTCCCCCTAGAAAAGCATGGTCAAATGCCAAAGATGACCTAATTGTCTAATTTGTCTTTCCTCAGGCTTCAGCCATTCCCCATATGGTGCCTGAAGCATGCCCAGCAAGGCTTTTCTCCGAGACCGAGGTGCAGTGGAGAAATTTGACACCCCCAAAGATTGCAGAAGTTTGTAAGGGAAACATTTTTGGGAGTGCCGGAAAAGGCTGA